GGGCCCCTCCCCGCTGCGGGGGGAGTAGCTCCCCCCCCCGGCCCCGGCCCCACAGGCCGCGCCGCCCCGGCCCCCATCCCCTTCCCCCCCTCACATGGCGGACGGCGGCAGGGTCGGCTCCGGGTCAGGCGGCTCCCCGGCTCGGGGCTCTCTGGCGCGGGCGGGCAGCGGCGAGAGGGACCGGGTCCGACCAGCGTGAGCCAGCAGCGGCGGCGGCCTCCTCAGGGCTCGGCCTAGCACCCACAATGCACCGCGCGCTCGGGCAACGGCGGCTGTTCCAGGCGCTGGTGACGCAGCAAAATACCCCGCGCTCCCGCCTCTCGCCGCACTCCCCGCTGCGCATGCGCCGGGCGCCCGCTCCCTCAGCGCGCTTTGCGCCCAGGTGGGCCCGACCGGACGCAGAGCGCATGCGCCCCAACCGCCTCGCGGCTCTCGGCCTTCCACGCGCGCGTGCTCGGGGCAGCCTGCTCCGGAGTGCGCACGCGCGCCTCCCAACGTCGCAGCACGCACGCGCCTAGCCTCCCTTTCGAGTCCCCTAATTTGCCCCCGGCCCGCGCGCGGCGCATGCGCCGACGGCTCCCGCTGTTGCTACGGTGTGTGGGCACAGCTCCCCGGCCCAGGATTGCCATGGAAACGAGAGTGGAGGCTGCTGGGACATGTAGTTTCTTGGGCCATGGTGGTGCCCAGAGAAGGGGGGGACCGTGTCTCTAGCAGGGGCAGGTGGGTCTGGGGTCACAACAGCTGGCACCCCCGCCCCCCATTTGTCCACCAGCTGCACAGCTCCTCCAGGGCCAGGGTGCAGGTCCCCTCGCCGCTTCCCTTTAAAGGGCTTTGAGATCCACAGGCCTCAGGAGCCAGAGCCAGGCCCAGGCCCCCATCAGAGGCCACGGGCGCGGAGCCCCTTCTGCGCGGAGAGGGCAGCCCTGGAAGGCCTGGACATCTAAAGCAGAGAGCGGCGGCTGGGGGAGATGCGCTCTCTTGCCAAAAATAAAGAGAAAGACCCAGTCTTGCCAGAGGGCTAGAGAATGACCCACGGTAAGAGCAAAAACCTCAGCATAAAGTAAGGCGCAAAGCCCCCGTTCATGAAGGAAATAGCCATGCACACGATTTGCTCCTTATTTACAAGGGCTCCTCCTCCACAGCCTGTCTTTTGGGAGCATTATAAAACAGGCTTGGAAAGGTCAGATTTTTATCGGCAAATGTCCATAAATGTCGGTTTCACCGGGCGCACACAACCCTACGAAAAAATATCGTCCTACACTGAAATGTTAACGATAGGCAGAGGAAAATGCGGGCTTGAGAACTTTCGTTACCATTATATCCTGCCCGCCACCCACTACAGATTCCCACAATTGTGAACATGTAAATAGAGCAAAAATATTAAAAACGTTTACGTATAAAGATGGATATCCATCAAAATATATATCAAATTCCACCACGCCTAATTATAAGCTCTCCTGAGTTGTCTGGGAGATAGGAAGCAGGCACCCACATTGCAGCAGGGGGGGGGGGGGGGGCTCTCATTAGAAAGCCTTAACATCCCAGTCAACAACAAAGAAACAGATTCCCTCCTTCCAAAACAGTGAGAGAAGCTGAGTTCATTAGCCTTTCCATTGGATAAAGCTGCATTTTCAAAACAGGGCAACATCCAGGCAGCGAAGCAATTGTCTAGATAATCATAGAATCATAGACTATCAGGGTTGGAAGGGACCTCAGGAGGTCATCTAGTCCAACCCCCTGCTAAAAGCAGGACCAACCCCAACTAAATCACCCCTGTACGGTGGGTGTTCTTCCTATTTTACAACTCAGGAAGTTGAGGCACCCGGAGAAGAAGTTACTTGCTCTAGGTCAACCCGGGAAGCCGGTCACAGGGCAGGAAGAGAATGCAAGTGTCCTGACTCCCTGTTTTTTGTTTTAACCACCAAACCATCCTTCCCGCAGGGCAAAAATAAAAGAACATCATCTGGATTTCTAACACTTATCCCCCTAACAACAGCATAAAGGGTGTAATATGCTGCCATTCTCTCAGACAACCAGTCAAATCGATAATTAAGCCCTATCAATGCCCCTGCAGACTCAAAGCAACATCTGGCAGGTTAGAATAGTTCACACTCAGCTCTACCTCACACCAAATGGGACTCTGGAAGAGATCCTTTCAGGTTTTACCCCTTCTAGTCTCACCTACCAGCCTCTGAATGCAGCCTACTGGAGTCCTCAGCTACTTTCAAATCCTATCACTTTTCTCTAAGCGCTAAAGTCTTAATTAAAACGATCGAGCCCGGCTCCCTGAACCTCACACTCCAGTATTCTTCCCAAATTTGGCTACAGCATCCGGCCCCCTCTGCTCCATCTTCCTGCATCCTCCGAAGGCTTCCCACGGGAGATTCGGAACTCTGCCTGCTTGCATTTACACGGACAGACAGTGATTAACAGCCATATCTATAGGGCTTGTGCGCAGCATGAGGGTCTTCCAGCTAGCCGCTCTACCTAATGTTCCTTGCTGCCTGTATTCTCCGCAGTGTAGCTAATCAGTTTGAATGAGTTGTTCCACGGCCCAGTTTCTAGTGCACCGGGGAAAAAGCGTTACTAAGCAGTGGCAAGATTCCCATTTTCACCGCTCCTGCCTTTTCCTGTCACTTAGGATTTCACTGGGCATTAGCTCCCTCCCACCACCTGCTGGTCTTGAAAACCTCCCTCTGCACCGCACTCAACTTTCTGGACAAGGACAGGTTTGTTTGTAGGCCTGGGGAATGAGAGAGAAGCAATCAAAGACATCTCATTACGTGGTCATACACAATGCCACTAAAGTTCTAGAAAAGCAGCGTTTTAAAATGGCAGGTATTGTCATTTACTTTGTACATGCCTAGCACAATGGGGCCCTGGCCTGTCTGAGGCTGGCAGGTGCTACTGCAATATGCATGTTAACACCCCGACAGCAAGTACAGGCAGGGACTCCACCCTCAGAGTTACACAACAGGGTGTAAAGAAGGGATGAATGCCAAGAAAAACTTCCCACCACCGCCGATCCAAGGAAGTGATGGAAGATCCACCAGCTGAGCACGGAGTTGCCAACTCCTGTGATTTTGGGGGTATTTCCAAAAGCTCCCAGTGCTGAAATCAAGAGATCGCAAGGACTGTCTTTTTCCTCTGTTTTTGAACAGTACCTAGCACCGTACAACAAAGAAACGCTGTAGCCCAAGAGAGGTCACTGGACTGGGCCTCAAGAGACCTGGCCCTGCCACTGGCCTGCCAGGCGACCTTAGGCAAGGCACTTTCCTCTCTGTGCCTCAGTTTGCTCATCTATAAAATGGGGGTAACGACACCTCCTCTGCAAATTAAAATCACTAGAGAGACAGGGATGAAAAAAGTAAGTCCCTAGCCTTCATGGTGGCAGAGAAAAGCTGAGACACGTGAAGCGAGTGTAACCTAAAGCCTCAGAAACCAGAAGGCAGATCAAAAGAACGTGACATTTCTTTTTATAAAGAGGTCATGATTTTTAGGCCAATCTCATGATTATGTTCATAGAATCATAGGCCTGGAAGGGACCTCGAGAGGTCATCTAGTCCAGTCCCCTGCAGTCATGGCAGGACTAAGTATTATCTAGACCATTCCTGACAGGTGTTTGTCTAGCCTCCTCTTAAAAATCTCCTATGATAGAGATTCCACAACCTCCCTAAGCAATTTATTCCAGTGCTTAACCACCCTGACAGTTAGGAAGTTTTTCCTAAAGTCCAACCTAAACCTCCCTTGCTGCAATTTAAGCCCATTGCTTCTTGTCCTAGCCTCAGAGGTTAAGAACAACTCTTCTCCCTCCTCCTTGTAACCTTTTATGTACTTGAAAACTTATGTCCCTTCTGTCTTCTCTTCCAGACTAAACAAACCCAATTTTTTCAATCTTCCCTCATAGGTCATGTTTTCTAGAACCTTAATCTTTTTGTTGCTCTTCTCTGGACTCTCTCCAAATTGTCCATATCCTTCCTGAAATATGGCGCCCAGAACTGGACACGATACTCCAGTTGAGGCCTAACCAGCACGGAGTAGAGCGGAAGAATTACTTCTCGTGTCTTGCTTACAACACTCCTGTTAATACAGCCCAGGTTTTTTTGCAACAGTTACACTGTTGACTCAGATTTAGCTTGTGGTCCACTATGACCCCCAGGTCCCTTTCATGTTGGTAACATCGGAGTCATTAAAACCTGGAGAAGACTAGACAATTGAGAGCTCTAAAGGAAGCACCCTGGCATCACCCCCGGGGGATGAGGCCCCTCAGAGATCTTCTAACCTCTGAACATTAGGATTTGCAACTGAACTTTAGACAGCAGGTAGGCTGACCAGACAGCGAGTGTCAAAAATCGGGACAGGAGGTGGGGGGTAATAGGTGCCTATGTGAGAAAAAGACCCAAAAATCAGGGCTGTCCCTATAAAATCGGGACATCTGGTCACCCGAACAGCAGGTGTCCATAAGCTCAATGTTCCACACTCCCAAAGGACCATTCTTGTGCTAGAGTCTGAGCCTTTTGCGTCCCCCTACAGGCTGGTGGACCTTCACACAAAGCAAGGAAACACTAGAACAGGGGTAGGCAACCTGCGGCCCGCAAGCGGATGTTCAGTGGCACTCACGCTGCCCGGGTCCTGGCCACCGGTCCGGGGGGCTCTGCATTTTAATTTAATTTTAAAAGAAGCGTCTTAAACATTTGAAAAACCTTATTTACTTTACATACAAGAATAGTTTAGTTCTATATTAGACACTTCTAGAAAGAGACCTTCTAAAAACGTTAAAATGTATGACTGGCATGCGAACCCTTAAATTAGAGTGAATAAATGAAGACTCGGCACACCACTTCTGAAAGGTTGCCGACCCCTGCACTAGAATTAGCAGGCGTGCCTTCCCGGGAACAGCAGAGGAGAGAGAATGTCAGGCCTGGGACCTCCTCTGTGATCAGCGGTTACACCTCCTTGTGACCTCAGGGCAAACAAAAAGCAAAACAAAACATAAAAGATTTCACCGACAGTAAGCCACAACTTTTATTTATCGATAGAAATAGTACAAATGTTAAATTTCGCTGCATTTTACTCTTCTCTGAAAAACCAAAAGGTTCCTCCCTTCTGATGGCTACATCGTCAATTCCTGGAGAGACAGAGAAAGAACAGTTAGAAAGTATCTCTGGGGGCAGGTCTGCAATTCCCTGGAGATTTCACTAAGCTCTGCACTCCAGCTCCCTCCAGCATGCTGATGCAGAAGAAACAGAGCGGCGTGAGCTTCAGACTGTTTATCTATCAAGCGGGGCCAAGCGGCCTTGGGGAAGGCTGTTCTGGCTGCTCTGAGAGCAGAGAGATGGGCAAGATCCTGCTTGGATACACACATGGGGGGGGGGGGGGGGACAGAGGCAGGGGGACGCCTATCCCCCAAATAATAATTTACATCACAACACAGACCCAAGCGGATTTTGTACCATCTGTTATTTCCCCCCCTTCCCAATGGGTGAGGTCGGTGCAGACAATGAAAACTGCCAGAATGATGCAGAACAGGCGAGTTGAGACATGGAGAGAGGAGGGGGTAAGTAGGGATATGCCCTCATGGTAACTGATCAGTGAGCTCCTCACACCCATCAGCAGTGAAATGAGCATGCCCTGTTCTCCCCATTCAGGGAGGATTCACTCCAAACTGTAACGTCTGCTCCCCAAGTTTTGTGTTTGCTCGACTGGCTGGGAACTCCGCTCCGGAGGCCACTCACCATAATAGCATTTACAATATCGTTACTGTTGTTCTTCAGGGCCCGGACAGCCTTCGCGCGGGACACGTTCGCCTGGGACATGACCAGCTCGATGTCCTTCACCTCGACGCCGGTCTCGTCAACCTAAGCAAGAAAAGACCAGGACTGTCTCCCAGCTGATGGCACGGATCTCTCTGTGCCGTGCAGGTACAGACGGCCCCGACCCACTGGGGATTCCTCAATTCAACCCAAGCAGTAGGAGCACTCATGTTCTGATTTCACTGCTTGCAGATTGGGGAAATGGCTGCTTCATGGAAGCAAAGGAATTACCAGGCTGGATCAGACCCAATTTGGTGTGTTTTCCTGTCTCCTGACAGTGGCCAGCACCAGCTGCTCCAAAAGGAAGGTGCAAGCAGCCTCGCAGTAGGGGATTCTGGGATGGCCAGCACTCAGGGCAAGTTTCTTCTTTCTACCATTAGAGCAGGAAGGCGGCAGAAGGGACAAGGAATCCCCAGGTACCATGTCTCAGTGTATCCAGCATGTGTTATAGGGGCAAATGGGCTCAGATGCCTTGCAGGTGAGTGCAATGGGGAGATATCACAATGCATACAGCAGCAGGAGCCCAGTAACTGCAATAATCAATGCTGGTGAGAAGTGCCTGCTCCAGAGTGGGGAAGGATAGTAAACGTCCGGGGCCTGCCCTCTGCCGGGCTTCCCAAAGAGAGGATGAGTTGGTATGATGGTTTGTGTGAGGTGGACATCTGTCCCACTAGAAAATGGGCTGGGAACCCACCCGCAACTTGCTTCACACAGGGGTCCTGGACACCTGCCAGAGAGAGACACTAGGGTGGGCAAGAGGCCCAACGGGTAGCACGTGCCATTAACCACACGTGCACAATAATACAGTGGGTCCTTTCATCTGAACTGCACGGGCTGTGGGCTTCTGTTTCAGACTCCAAACATGACTGGGACCCGGAGGCAACATACCTCCTCCTCTTCGCTCTCCTCCTGTACGGTGGGAGTCTGTGTGTTTTCCTGAATGTTTGAGACGGCTTCTCCTTGCACTTTGAATTTCTCGGCAGCTGCCAGCTGCGCCTGCTGGGACAGATCTTCGATCTGGGGGTTGGGAGAAGCACAGAGCACAGTGAGATGCTGTCATTTAAAACTGAACCCAAAGAGAAGCCAGGACTTCAGAATGGAGCTTCAAGACATCCAAGGCCTTTCGAGTCAGCCACAGCCACAACAAGATGAGAAACCAGCCCCTAGAGAGGATTCAAAACCCACTCACATCCCACCAGACACACACACACGCACAGCAGCAGGGAAACTTATCTAGCACAGTTCTGTCTGAAGCGAGATGCCACAGAACTGCAATCCCCGAGGTCTGGCTGGGCCACCGCGCTGCTGTGAACACAGACTGAAAGAGCGGTCAGGTGCTCCCGTCCATCATGAGCGGGCTCAGCTCACCTTTGCCTCGCCGAAGACTATGTAGGTGTCTGATGCTGGGCTTTTATACACATCTGGCTTCGTGATGACGAAGAGGATGTTCTTGGATTTCCGGATGGTGACTCGGGTTACACCTGTGACCTGGCGAAGGCCCAGTTTGGACATTGCCTTAAAAGCAAAGGAGAAGGGAAGGAAAGAGAAATAGCTCATTGAGACACCCTAGGCAAGGTGTAACTAGCTCATCGGCTCAGGACATTGGGATCCCGCAAAGAAACCTCTGACATTACTGCGGCCGAGAAGCCTTGTAGACAGAGGCAGAGTGGAGAGAACCTGGAGGCAGAGTTCATTCCCAGCTCTGCCACCACCTTACTGGATGGCCCGAGGTCTCCTCTCTCTGTTTCAATCTCTCCTGTGGAATGGGCGCGCCTCCTCAGCCGGGGGTCACCAGGGCTGGCCTCTGAGCTCATTGGATGAGAGAGGCGGAGGGTCACCCAAGCGCCCCTCAGTTCTGCGCCAGCCTTGCCACTATACAAGCAGCACCATGCTGGGCCCGACAGGGTTAAATCAAAGGGGCGCAGAGGGTTTTAGCCCCAGTGCACATGGAGATCTTGACAGAGCCATTCCTCTTACCCGCTGGGCTGGCTGACTCCCGAAGGGAGGGCGAGGAATTGGGCCCACGGCCATGGTCTCTTACCTTTCGTGCTTTCTTTTCACTCCGGCTCTGCTTTGCTTTGCTAACTGGTTCTTCATCTATTTCAGCGGCTGCTGCGAGCTGCAGGGACAGGCAACAAGTGGGGCCTTAGCGAATCCTGGGGAAGACGCCCAAGGAACCAGCAGCAGGGGACCAGCTGAGATGGTCTCTCTCAGCAACCGCGGCTCTGCCGTGCTGGGGAGCAGAGTTCAGGACAGAGCCAGCTCACTGTATGGGGGAGGGAGGAACAGAACTGCTCCGCATGCAGGCATGACTCTCCAATGGCCAGCATTCACAGCGGTGTGAGCTAGCTGAGACAGGATCTACAGGGCCTGGGAGGGGTTGCATCTGGGTGGATTGAAGAATGGGGATTTCCCCAGGGCCTTCCCCCTAAGCTGTGAGTACAGTGAGAGATGCATGTTCACATCCGCCTCAAGTGACTGCCTGGGCTCAATCAATTCACAGATCATGGCCCTCCATAGCGCGAAGATGAAAGGTTCTCGCTCACTTCCAGAAGCCAGGGAATCCTGCAACTCACCCCCACCGCACACGCTCAGCTGCAGGGACCGGACCCCTCACCTGTGCCTGCTGTGTGGTGGCCTGTGTAGAATCTTGTTCTTCGAGTTCTGGCACCGATTCGTCACTGTCGGATTCTGTGCCGGACCCTATGGATACAAACGTGCATTCACATTTTCCAGCGTGGGCCCCCGTGGGGAGTAGCAGGCCAGTCTGGAGGAAACAGACAGACCAAGGAAGCAGACCTGTTCTGGCAGAGCCTTTGCCATGGGGCTGTTTAGGGTCTCGTTATACCAAAGGGTTGACATTGCTCCTTCACCCCAGTTCACACCAAAATGAACTTCAATTCAATAAACTTATGTAAGACCTGGTATAGGAACAGTTCTCCACACACCGATCCCTTTTGGGTAATAAAAGAACAGGCACATCCAAGGAGGACAACACAGACTAACAGCACCAAATGCTTTGGAAATCCAGTGCTCTGAAACGGTGGGGGGAAAACCTTGTGCGGCAGCAGAGAGAAGCCTAGTAGTCAGACTGCATGACTGCCTGCTCCTTACCCTCCTGCTCTCTCTAACAACTAGACTGGAGTGGATCAGGATTTGGTATCCATGAGGCCATTGGGTTTACAGACCCTGCCTACACAGCTGACACTGGATTTTGGATAGGAAAGGGAGGGTGAATTTGAGGACGGGAAGAGGGGGATGATGGTTGGTATTCTGCCCCGTCTAGAAGCTGAGAAACAGGAAGGAGCTTAAGGTACTCCCCTAGGCGAAGTGGGAAAGTATCTGTACCTAATCAGAGGGCTGAGCTAGGGCACTGGGCACCCCCCCATCTCCTTCAAAATTAGTGGGAGTCACAAGTACTCAGCTCTTTGCAGAATCCAGCTCCAAGCCCAAACCTCTACATTCATCAGCAGTGAAGTGAGTGTTAGGCAGGAGCAGATGATAAACAAGTGTAAAGGCGGGTTCGACAACACCAGAAGAGTGAGTCAGCAAAGCATAACTCACATCACCAGGGACCCAGCTGGGGCGGGGAGGAAGACAAAATCTGACACTCTTGTCAATGCCTCTTCAGTCTGTTTAAATGACAGCAAAATGGGGGATTGTACGAGCTCAGGCCTAGAGCAGGGAAAGTGGCTACGAGTTACCTTGAGCTTGCAGGGTTGCTGTGTGTCTGCACAAAGCCAGGCCCACCCATGGCTCTATTAAAGGGGTGGTACGACAACAATTAAACCAAGAGCCCTTAGCAGGAAGCAGCATCTCCGGATGCTGAAATGCGTATCTGTGCCACTACCAAGAAGCTGTCAGGGATCTGGTAAGACTCAGAGGACCGCTGGGAGTTCATGCAAGTCTCTGCTGCAGTGGGTGTAGTTAGCTTGCAAGCCCTGACGTGTTGGAGAATGAAACGTGCCTGACAGCACAGAAGTGAAGAAGCAGAATCCGTCTGTGCCACACTCAACCCCCAGAGCAGACTGGGAGGGGCGAGTTACAACCCTCCTCTCCATGCTAACAGCCAGTTCAGAAATGAAGACCAGCTAGGGCACAAACTCAGCCCAATCTGCGATTTCCATGTGGTCCAGTCTCACTGGGAGTGGATACAAGGCTTGGTAACTAGACAGACCCATCAACCACTCACACCCTGACCCTCAGGCCCCTGCACTAAATGCTGTGTGCAGCTTGGTTAGGGTGTGCATAGGGCAGGCCACCACACCAATGACACATACAGCAACGCTCCCGTGGCCCAGAAGTGGGCGCAGATAGGTCAACTGACCAGCACACATGCTAAGAACTAACACAGACCACGGAGACACATTTTAACATCAAATGTTGTTTCAAGGGAAGTAAAAGGATAACCACAGGTGAACCAGCCAGGACGCTAAATCCAAGCAGGACTGTGAGCATCTGCCCAATACAGGCAGATTGAAAGTGACCACGATTAACCCTGGGACCTCTGGTGATCTTTGAGCTAACCTAGATCTCCACAAGGTTGCTGAGAAACAGAGAATTCAGAGAAGAATGGATTAAATACACAGCAGACGTTGGTGAAAGATCCAAGTGGGAGGCTACGCAGTTCTGGTGACGCTGGTCCAGACGCAACAGAGTTCAAACCATCCCCCCCTGCAAGCCAGCCCCATGCGTGTCCGAGACCCCTCCATTAGTAACGTGAACTGCACGAGAACAAACTACAGAAGCTGGTGTCCAACACAAGAGCAGACAGCGGGCGGTGACCTGCCTGATACTGGGACGCCACGTACAAGAGGCTTTACCCCAGCCAGGATCCTGGTCAGCGCTCACGGCTCAGCACGGGGTTATTTTGGCCTCACTACATAGCATGGCACATCGCTTCTAAATGCTACGTTTCTAGGCTAACAAACCAAGCAGGCGAAGTGTGTGTGGGGGAGAAGGGGAATCGAGGCCCGACAGTCTCTACGAGGTTAGTACTCCGTGGGCAGCCGCTGACACTCCATGCACACAGCAAACCGAGGCCGCAAATACCCTTGTCATTCTTCAGCACGGGTTGCTTGGCTGGAGGAAGAGAAGCTGGGGCCTCAGCAGGGGCCACAGCGGGTCTGGGAGAGGAGAGATCCACCAGGATCGGCTGCAAAGGCAGTTCCCCGGCAGGCCCCTCAGGAGGGATGAGAGGCGGCAGCTCGTCGTCATCGATGGTAGCAGCGCAGACAGGGGTGGGGGGTCTAGCTGGTGCTTCGGGCGCAGGACCAGGTGAGGAGGAAGGCGGGGATGGTTTAGGAAGCCCGGGGCGGGGGGTTAGCTCTTCAGCGGGGGAAGTGGGCAGAGGTGCAGGGGCTTGGCTACTCGCTGGAGTAAGGGGAGTGGCAGGGAGGTCAGTGGAAGCAGCTGGCGAGGAAGCTGGTTTCTGGGGAGCAAGGAGGAGCTCAGGGGAGGAGGCGGGGGCAGAGCTTACTGCCTTTGGGACAGGGGGAGAGCCAGGGGTCACCAGAAGTGGAGAAGTGGGAGAGGCTGGGGCCACAGGGGGAGAAACAGGGGTCCCAGGAGAAACTGCAGCCTCAGTGGGGGTGACAGGAGCTGGTGGAGATGCACGAGCCCCCAGAGCTGGTGTCACACTGGGAGAAACAGGAGCCACCAAGGGGTGGAGAGGGGCTGGGGAAGGAGCCATAGGGGAAGGGAGAGGGGTTGGGGGAGGGGCTGGGGTCACAAGGGGAATGGAGGGGGATGGAGCAGGAGGAGAGGCTGCGGTCTTTGGGGGAGGGAGAGGGATGGGGCAGAGGCAGGGATCACAGGGGGAGTGGAGGGGGTAGGAGCAGGACCCACAGGGGAGGCTGGGGCCTTTGATGGAGGAGCAGGGGTTTTGATGGAAGTGGAGGGGGTTGGGGCTGAGGCAGGAGGAGCAGTAGAAGCTGAGGCCACAGCAGAAGAGAGAGGGGTTGGGAGAGAGGGAGGGGTCTCAGAGGGCATGGAGAGGGCGGGGGCAGAAGCAGGACCCACAGGAGAGGCTGGGGGCTTTGGCAGAGAAGCAGGGGTCTTTGGGGGAGTGGAGGGAGTTGGGGCAGGAGGTGAGGATGGGGCCTGTGTGGGGGAGAGAGGGGTTGGGGGAGAGGCAGGGGTCTTGGGGAGAGTGGAGGAGCTTGGGGCAGGAGGTGAGGCTGGGGTCTTTGGGGGAGGGAGAGGGGTTGGGGGAGAGGCAGGGGTCTCCAAGGGAGTGGAGGGGGCTGGGGCAGGAGCTGTAGGAGAGGCTGGGGTCTTTGGGGGAGGGAGAGGGGCTGGGGGAGAGGCAGGGGTCTCACGAGGCGTGGAGGGTGCTGGGACAGGAGCCACAGGAAAAGCTGGGCAAGAGGTTGGGGCCAGAGGGGCAGCACCAGGGACCACCAGAGAAGCTGAGGTCCCAGGGGATGTGAGGGGGGGCTGGGGGAGCAGCAATGACTAGGGGAGGAACAAGAGGGGTGGGGGAAGTAGGTTGGGCCACAGGGGTAGCAGCAGCCAGAGCTGATGTCACAGGGGGAGAAACAGGAGCCAGAAGGGTGAGGGGGGCAGGGGCAGCAGCCACAGGGGAGGTGGCTGAGATTGCGGGAGGAGCAAGAGGGCCTGGCGCCGCAGGGGCCACAGGAGGAACGAGGGGGGTCAGGGGAGAAACAGGAGCTGTCAAAACTGGGCATCTAGGAGAGGCTGGTGCCGCCAGGGGGGCAAGAGGAGTGGTGAGAGAGACATGGGGACACCTTGGGGTAACAGAAGGAGATGCCAGTGCTGGGCCCCCAGGGGACGCTGGAGTAACTGGGGAAGCAGCAGCAGCAGGCCTGGGAGAGCCTGGAGTGGCAGAATCGGCTGGGGTCCCAAGAGCTGGGGCTGTAGGGGGAATAGGGGGAGGTGGGCTGGGCACTGGGATGCCAACAGCTGCAGCTGGGAGCTTTAAGGGAGCGGAGAAGGTAGGAGGCATCAGAGCTGGGACCACAGGTGGGGAGGCAGGGGCTGCAGGGGGAGCTAGTGCTGGGGAAGCAGGAGAGGTTGGGGAGGGGGGCTGCTCTCGTGACACAGCCAGGCCCGTGGGGGCACTTGGAGAGGAGGGCTGGGCAGGGTTAGCAGAGGGAGCTGGAGCTAGTGCCGGGGAAGGAGCAGCATGAAGAGACGGAGAGAGAGAAACAAAGTGAACCAATGAGAAAAGAAAACCAAGGGGGCCAGGGGAGAAAGGTGAGTAATCCAGCGCGACCCCGCGTGGGCTACAGTCCAGCTACCCGGGCAGACGGGTGGCCCCACACCCTCGCCAGGACACTGCCAGGCAATGGCATTTTAACACCCTGTCCCTTGCGGCTCTCAGAAAGCTCTTCTCCCACGACAGACGCTCCCGTCTCCCGCCCTCCAGAGGGAGACAGATCAGTGTATTTTAACACACAAAATACCCCACCCCTAAGGGGAAGTCCCCCTGGCTAACCCTGCCTGCACAGCTCCATGCCCCCATCCCCACGGGCACACATGCAAGCCCCCTAACCCAGAATGCCGGCTGCCCACCCACAGCGTCCATGTGTCAGTAGCACATTGGGGAAGAACCCTGCTCCAGCTCGTTTTCCAGCCCATAACTTCAGTAAAATGATCCTGGGGTCCAGAAAGCTATGGAAATACAGCAGCTTTATTTCAGCACAAAGACCCAGGAAATCATTCTGGCCCGTTGGCCTTGAACGCAGGACCCTGTGCGGGTTTCTAGACACCAGGTACAAGTGCCTGACAAGCCAGACGGAGCGGTCAGTGTCTGGTTGGTTCGGCATTTGCCTGGCTCTGGAAATCCCCTGGCTTTGGTGGAGGATGCTGTCCCAGCAGACTGGTACACGCATTCAGTTTTTCTCCCAAAGGGATTCTGGTAGCATAGGGGAAGTAACACACCCCTGTGCTTCACACAGTCCAATTCAAAGCTTGGCTCCCTCAGCTACTATGGAGGTGTGGTCTGCAGAGGCGGCAGGCCCCAGCATGCAGGGTTCCACCTGCATCCAAACAGGGCAGGATCACATGCCGGGCTTCGCGGTCTCTGAGGGCTGCACCTCCATATTAAACAGGAGTCTGGCTGCAAATGGCTCTTTTTCAGGCAGGTTAGGTTAGGCCCTCAGGCTCCTGGCAAGCGGCTGATGCAGCCTGAGCTGGGCAGAGTGTGAGCACGCCATGCTCAGGGCCAGACAGCACTGTTTGTCTCCTAGCATTTGGGATGCCTGAGAACGGGAAGGAACATCACAAGTTGCTGTACAGCTCCTGAACGTTGCGGTTTCATGGTCCCAACACACCAGGCTCTCACACGGATCCTTTATCCCAGGAAAGCAGCCCTCAGATCCTAGGAGCAAACACTCCCTCCTCTAGCCTCATCCATCCCCAGTGCTTTACAAACATGCAACTAAAAGCCTTGTGTGCTCCTGGAATGCAGGTTTTCTTTTACACATAAGTAAACCGAGCCACACAGCAGTGACGTGGGAGAAGAACCCAGGAGTCCTAGCTCCTAGGCTCCTGCTCTCGCACTGCACGTTTTGCTAAACGTTTTTGTTAATGGGACTACCCAGCACAGCAAACATGGTTAATGAGACGCACGCGGGGGACATGAGTTCAGAATACCTGACGCTTGAACAGGAGCACCAGCAGGAGGGGCAGGGACAGCAGGAGCTAAACAAGCAAGAGTGAAAGGTTATTACCGACAAGTCCTTCCAATCAGGAACTGCTGCAAGCAAGAAGGTTCTGCTCCATTTCCAAGACAAACCAGGTCTCACAAGAATGGTGCCGCTCACCTTTCACCTCTGGATACCAGAGTTCAAACCCAGGCTGGGCTGCAATCCAAGCGAGCTAGCATGGGGAAGATGGATCCAGGACAGCGCTGTCCTGATGATTCTGCTGGTCAGGAGCTAGGTGCACTGGACCAGCAGCACACCAAAAATAAGCAGCGCCTGCCCATATGATATATAACGCTAGCGAGTGGCATCAGCCCTTTACTTTCTTGAGCCCTAGATGCACCCCAAACCTCTGAGGGAGAGAGCCCAGCGAGTTCTCTGGAAGAGGGTGGCAGGACAAGTCCGGTGAGACTGATCTAGGGAGGAACCTGCGCAGTCTGTATCAAAGGGATCCAGGGGAAGAGGCCACACTTGGCAGCGTATGGGAATGAGCTGGTTCTCATGAGCAGCAATCTGCTTAGCCAAAAGCTGCAGGCATGTTGTTTTGCACAGCAGGCAGAGGGGTCAGGCAAGGAGAGCTGCTGACCTGCTCCAGTTGCTATTCCACCATCAGGTACAGCTCCATTGGAGACACTGGGTGTGACTCAAGCAGCCTGGGGCAGCTTGCAACCCCAGAACACCATTAGTTGGACAGGAACAGCAGAGCTGCTTGGGCTGTTACACCAGTTAACCCAGCATCGGCTTCCATGGGGAGGGGCTAGAAGCTAGGAATGAGGGGGTATTCATGATGAGCAGGAGGGTGGGGAAGAGGTGGTCTGTTCCCAGCAGGCCAGAGGCGTGGTCTGCAGGTGTCTGGGATGCAGATGCTTCTCCACATTGTTCTCCTGAACAGCTTTAGAATAGAAGGGAAATGCCTTTTGTGAGTCTGACGCCTTGCCTTGCTCCTACTCTGGAGGGCCAGGTCTTCTCACAGCAGGGCAGTGCTGACTAATGCAGAATGCAAGGCTTGGAAGGTAACCCCAGCGCTGCACTGAGCAAGTGGCTAAGGCTTTCACTGACCCTCCTGCTCCGGGGGGGAGGGAGCTGCACCCCGATCCAAGTATGAATGACTGACTCATTTATGTATCAGCCACTGATTTAGGGAGTCTGCACAAAAGCCACTTTGCATAGGTCACTTGACTGCTCACTCAGTGGCAGACACCAGTTGCTCATGTATTGTCCTGGCTCAGCCTTTCCCAAATCGGATTTAGTGCCAGTCAGAGACTAGAACCTGTCATCTCTCAGCTGCTGAGAGCCAGACAGCTAGGCCCAGTCCTGCACTCAGTGAGCAGGAGTTGGTTTCAAGTGTTGGTGAAATGTACGACAATAAAACATGGCAGATCCCAGAGTGGAGTCTAAAATTGGGAGTCCTGTAGCAAGGGGGAAGAAAGGCCCAGCACATGCCCCCCAGAAGTTACCAGTTTCCAAGTAGGGAAACCGATCAGTTTCTTAAAGGGGAACTACCAAGTCTAACAAAGGGGAGCTAATCTCGGAAAGGTGCTGAGCCGAGCATGAACCAGGCAGCAGGGGGCATTCACCATAACTTTCCCTTTGAAAAATTCTTTCCAGTCTCCATGAGGCCTCATTGATCCTTCCATATTCACTCAAGATGCCTCAGACATTATCACTCTGGGACATCACTGAGACAAGACTGCCATGCAACTGCCAGCTCTAATGCCCCACAATGTGCTCCAGGGGCATCTCCTGCCAACCCAGGAAAGCAATGGATTTCATGGAGGCCGCAGACAATTGGTGAAGGCTCCTAATAACTGGGCTATGGGGGGTGGGAAACAAAGCCCCATATTGCTGGACCTCAGGAGTTCAGCACTGCATTACACTCTTTCCACAGGCCAATCTAACTCCAGCAGAGATACACTTAGGTGACAAGAGGTGCAATGAAACCATCTCAGAGATTAAATCTCACACACACGTAATCATACATGTTATCAGAGCCCTCTAACCAGTAGCTCCTTTCGAGCCCCACAAGGCTTTGGAAGATTCTGCTCAACGTGGAGCTGGTATTTCTAATGCCCTAGATGAGTCAGAGCCAGATTTTATTTTACAGACAGGGTAACTCTTCGTGCCCTCCCCCCGCCCCGCACCTCCTGTAGTAACTTGAGACCTACCTGAAGGTTCCAGAGCAGCCTCAGCCTGGGAACCCTGGCCTGCCACCTCAGGACTCTTGGTGGCAACTGCTCGGGTCTGCTCAGCTGCCAGTGTCACTCCTGCGAGAGCCCAGCTTGCTTCCCCGGGGGCCGGGGGAGGAGTTACTGCAATAGCATCAGCTGTTGAGTACACACCACATACTACCAAGACCCACCAACCTTTATATGCTCCATGGCGTGGTAAGACAACCAAGAGATGAGAAGAATCAACAGTGGGGAAAATGTGTGAGTTATCCTCGGCGACCCAGTGAAAAACCATGCCCTGGGATGCTGCAGCTCTGTATGCACCCACGGGCACAAATGGTGCCTGGGAAGTTACCCAGCCATAGGAATCGCATCTACCCCTCAATGAGGCATTTAAAGAAAAATGACAGCATGACCATACTGCTAGTCAAATTGAGCTACCTACTTGACTCATGAATGACAAGCACAATTTAATGGAGAACTGGACTTTAGCCCCCCTCCGGGTTACTTCCCTTCACAAAACCTTTTCCTCAGCACCGTTTGATCATTCAAATGGTCCCAATTTTTCTTCTTGTCCCCAAGTCAAACTCACACAGCCCTTGGACAGAATTCACCACATTTACCAGTCATGCACTGTGTGGCTCCCCCATGCCTCAGGCCCAGTCCTACAGTCATGCAGTGTGCCCCGACCCTCTAGGCAGAAATGTAGCAAACAAAGCCATACTATTTGATAACTGGATCACAGCACCAGGAAACCTTCAAGAGAGACAATTGAGAAGCACAACATACAGTGGGTTGGAAAATCATTACTAAATTCATACACACTGCAAAACGCAAGCAGGATTCTGTTGCTTTTTTTTTTTTTAAAGCTGCACTCTCAGTTCAACTCCTCCCTCCCTCCCTCCAAAGAGTAGTCAGATGTTCTTACAGCACATTCATCAGTGCTGCATCACAATGCACGGTGAATGCCAAACCCTGCTGTAACTTTCTGGCTGAAGCACCATGTTGCTCCCTGTGTCCACTTTTAGCCATTCCATTGGAGAGAATCTGTTATCTAGTCAGTTTCAAGGAGTTAAAAGGAATCTTGGTTCCTACACCTGCTCTAACACCTTGTGAATCTTTGCGGATTTACAGCTACGTTTTCCTGTGGCTTTAAAAGGTTTCTCTCCCCCTTGCTGTTTTGGGAGAGACCCATACATGCAATATGGGAAACCGAGTACACAGGGGAAAGAGTAGGAGGACTTGTGGCACCTTAGAGACTAAAAAATTTATTTGAGCATAAGCTTTCGTGAGCTACAGCGCACTTCATCGGATGCACACAGGGGAAAGAGTGAAATTGACTATACACCAAGTGCCCTCAGACACAAAGAAAACAAGCTGAACAAAATTAATTTTTCTAATCTGTTTCACTAATAAGGACTTCCAGTGTTACTTGTAACAACAGTAGGTTACAAATGTGTGACACAAGCTGATGACATCCCTTGATGGAGGGAATCAGCATTTTACTGAATGTACCAAGTATGCTTTTGCAATTCCACTGTAGGCCGTGTAACACAGAGCTGGCTACACTGGGACTGCTTTGTCAGACTCTGAATGTTACCATATATTTAATAACCAATATCACTGCGGGCATCAAGCGCCTTTCAAGCTGATTGACTGAGAAACACCCACACAATCGTGTGGCGATGCTGTGGGACAAACAGTTCTGCCTTGTACACCAGCAGGCAGCCAAACAATGTGTGGTTAAGAGAAAAGGCACCAAGACCAATGAAACCAACATCCAGCATTTCACCTGGGTTAGGGCAGCTGAGACCCACATACTTGTGTTTCACTTAGTAACCACAGCAAATCAGAACACTAGTTAAATGAAAACAGGTTGGTGTTTTACAGTTAGTATTTCTGCACATCACACACTGCCAAAGCCTTGGTTGTACAGCTGGGCAGCAGTATTGACTGACCCCTTACTGCCCTTCAAGCATGCTACCACCATTTCCATTCAAAGAGCCCTCTTAACTCATCCATCTGAGCAAGTGAAACACAGTCAAGTTACCAGCGCTCAACCTTCCCTTCCTTCTTTAAGGCTTTTAACTAGACTTCCAAAAGCCACCAGAGGTCAAAATATTCTTGTTCTCCCTCCCCACAAACTGGCTTCACCTGTCCTTGAAGTTTAGGCTGGATGAGTTTCGGGATCCTTTCAGAAGGTGTATAATAAAGCAAAGCAACACTGACCTGTCTCAGCCTGAGGCTGTGGCAGTTCCTGCTCTGTGGCTGGGACGGTTTCTGTCGCTTCACCCGGCATTTCTGAGAGCAAGAAAGAAAAACAGAGGCCACAATTAATGAAGGATTCAGTTCTTTGGGATTTGAGGAGCTAAGAGAAAAAGTCCCCGTGACATTCACAGTTAATGTCTCAACCACAATCAGAAAAGCCAAACAGATGCACTTTTGGGTGGCTACAAATAAGGAAGTTTCATAACACTTTTGAAACAAGCAAGAGAGAAGCTGTAATTTTATTTCACCATGAAATTGCAACGAAGTGGTCGTTCCCATTACCAAACCCTTGTATCACAGCATTTCGCATTTCCAACAAGTAAGTAAACTCGTTATGCATGTCCTCAGAGGCAACAGGTCTGCAATGGTGATCACAGTGACCAAGAACGTAAAGAGATTAAAAATGGAACTGCATATTCATATGGATATCATGAATATCTAGTGTTACAGTTAATGCAAATGATATGAACGCTTGTGTTTCAGAACAAAACCAAATCTATGAGAGATCTGAATGCCACCTCTGTGTGTGTGCGTGTGTGTGAGAGATGGGGGCTGGGGGGTTGTGTGTCAAATAATCCCTCATCTGCCTGCTGTGGGGTTCTTACACCTTCCTCTGAAGTTTCTGGTACCAGCCCCCATCAGAGACAGGAGATTGGGCTAGACAGACTTTGGGTCTGAAATGCACTGGCAACCCCTATATTCCTATGAAACTCAGCGGCTTAGATAATAATTCTTGGCCCATATACACAGCACTTTTGACCCGGCCAACAGCTCTTTACTGACTTCAGTCAGCTCTCACAACTCATCATGAGTTCAAAAGAGGGGTGTCCTCCTCTACTTGAGAGAAAAAATTAAGGGTCAGAAAATTGAAGTGACTTGTCAGAGGCCACACGGCCAGCTGGTGGCAATCAAGGATCAAATTCTTCCTGTCCCATGAACAAAGTACAGGGAGCTAGCAGGACCCAGAAGTTTTGGCCAAGGGCACTGGGACAATCCTGCATTGTGAGACGCACCCCCTGCGACCTGTAGAGCCGGCACCGGTTGCGAGGTCTCCTCAGAAGACCCCACACATTCAGTACAGCGCTTGGGATCGGGTTTATCTACCTGGGCCGGATGAAGGGCTGAGTCAGACCTGGGATGTGAAGTTGTGGGGGCTCCAGACAGTCTTGGGGTTTCAAACTTGAGGCTCAGACACCCCCCCGAAAGCCCAGGACGTGTGCAAGAGCTGGCTCCACTCCTCACAGTTCCAAAGTTAGTCTGACAGGAGGGAACTCCTGACCCACCCCAGAAGAGGCTGGGAGTGGGGGAGACATGGACACCCCCCCCATTCGCAAAGGGAAATGACTCCCCCTCCTCCCCCTCACTCAGAAATCCCCCCCCCTCAATTTCTCCTAATCAGGCGACCTTCTACCCCCCACGCACCCAGTTGGGGGGAGACACCCCCCTACCCGCCAGGTACCAGGGAGGGGCTTCCACTGGCCCCCCTCCCCAGGACCTCCTCCCCCGCCCCCGCCCGGGAGCCCCCCTCCCCGGGGCAGGGAGGCCCCGCACCCGGGCGGTAGCTGGGACCCAGGCTCCTCCGATGCGGGGCCCGGGCCGGGCCCGCCCAGCTCCTGCCCGCACAGGCCGGGGCCCCCCCGCGCGGCCCCCCACCCCCAGCACCCCCGGCCGGGCCCGCCGCCGGGCGGATGGCGGCGGATAGACGCGGCAGGACTCACTGTGCGGGGAGCCGGCTTCAAGATGGCGGCGGAAAGAGAGAGACTGGGGCGGAGAGGGCGGGGCTTCCGGGAGAGCGAGCGAGGGCTTCCGGGGCAAGGGTCACTCACCTCCCTCGTCCCCCTCCCCCGGGGACAGGGAGCTCCCCCAGGGGCTGTTCTGTGCGCCTCCCTCCTCTTCCCCAGAGCCGCGCCCCACCCCGTCAGGGGCTGTGCCGTGCTCCTCCCTCCTCCTTCCCAGAGCCCCCCCAGTGAGGGGCTGTTCCCTGCCCCCCCCCAGGGCTAGGGGACCCCCCCCCAGTCAGGGCTGTTCCTGCCCCCCCCACCAGGGCTAGGGGACCCCCCCACTCACGGCTGTTCCTGTCCCCCCCCCCAAGGCTAGGGGACCCCCCCAGTCAGGGCTGTTCCCTGCCACCCCACCAGGGCTAGGGGACCCCCCCAGTCAGGGCTGTTCCTGCCCCCCCCAAGGCTAGGGGACCCCCCAGTCACGGCTGTTCCTGTCCCCCCCCCCCCCGGCTGGGACCCCCCCAGTCACGCTGTTCCTGTCCCCCCCCCAAGGCTGGGGACCCCCCAGTCAGGGCTGTTCCCTGCCACCCCCCCAGGGCTAGGGGACCCCCCAGTCAGGGCTGTTCCTGCCCCCCCAAGGCTGGGGACCCCCCAGTCACGGCTGTTCCTGTCCCCCCCCCAAGGCTAGGGGACCCCCCAGTCACGCTGTTCCTGTCCCCCCCCCAAGGCTAGGGGCCCCCCCAGTCAGGGCTGTTCCCTGCCCCCCCAGGGCTCCCCCCAGTCAGGGCTGTTCCTCCCCCAAGGCTAGGGGACCCCCCAGTCACGGCTGTTCCTGTCCCCCCCCAAGGCTAGGGACCCCCCCAGTCAGGGCTGTTCCCTGCCACCCCCCAGGGCTAGGGGACCCCCCCACTTAGTCCCAGGGGCTGCTCCCTGCTTTAAAGGACCCCCCCATTCCCCCTACCCAGGGGCCATTCCATGTTCCTCCCCCCTCTCTGCCAGGACCTGCACCCCCCAGCTGGGGGGTCCCAAGGAGCTGCCGCCAGCTCTCTCCCCTCCCCGCACCCCACATTTTGGCTGTGGCTGCTCCAGCTGCTTCCCGGGGAGGGAGCTGGGGGTTAGTCTGCTCCCCAGCCCAGTTCTCTCTCACCCTGGCAGGGTAACAGACTCAGCTGGGATTGGGGGGCCTGGGCTGAGTGACAATCCTGTCCCCACCGTCTGCGATGAAGGAACGTGGCGTCTCCCCGCCCGCCGGGGCGGGTTGGATTTTCCAAAGAGCCCAGCTGATCACTCTGGATCAGCGGTTCTCAACCTGTCCAGACGACTGTCCCCCTTTCAGGAGGCGGATGGGTCTTGCCTACGGCCAAGTTTCACCTCACTTAAAAACTACTTGCTTACAAATCAGACATAACAATACAGAAGTGTCACAGCCCCACTGTTACTGAAAAATGGCTTCCTTCCTACCATATAATTTTAAAATAAATCGATTAGAATATAAATCTTATACTTACATTTCAGTGTTTCAGAGTAACAGCCGTGTTAGGCTGTATTTGCAAAAAGAAAAGGAGGACTTGTGGCACCTTACAGACTAACCAATTTATTTGAGCATGATGCTGTAGCTCACGAAAGCTTATGCTCAAATAAATTGGTTAGTCTCTAAGGTGCCACAAGTCCTCCTTTTCTTTTTACATTTCAGTGTATAGTATATAGAGAGCTGTGTAAACAAGCCATTGTATGAAATTTTAGTTTGTACTGACTTCACTAGTGCTTTTTATGTAGCCTGTTGTAAAACGAGGCAAATCTCTAGATGAGATGATGTACCCCCTGGAAGATCTCTCTGTACCCCCACAGGTATGCATACCCCTGGTTAAGAACCAGAGTGGCTGGGTCATTACACATATTGACTCTATTTCCCCATGTTAAGTATCCTCACACCTTCTTGTCAACTGTCCAAATGGGCCAGCTTGATTAGCACTACAAAAGTTTTTTTTTCTCCTGCTGATAATAGCTCATCTTAATTAATTAGCCTCTTATAGTTTGTATGGCAACTTCCACCTTCTCTGTATGTGTGTATACATATATCTATATATCTTCTTACTATATGTTCCATTCTATGCATCTGATGAAGTGGGCTGTAGCCCACAAAAGCTTATGCTCTAATAAATTGGTTAGTCTCTACGGTGCCACAAGTCCTCCTGTTCTTTTTGCGAATAAGACTAACAAGGCTGCTACTCTGAAACCTGTTCTAGAAAACCTGCTCTCACTGTCAGACACAAACCCCCTCCTTTCCCTCCCCCTAAAAACTGGGCACTTGCTTACCCCCAGGTTAGTTAAATTGTGCAAACCTTGCTGGAGATGCTCCAACTTTGACCTGAGAGCAGATTATTGCAGTTCAGCTTAAATCTAGTCCTACTCCACTTAAACTGGCATCCACAGAGGGCTCTAAACTCATTTAAATTCACCCCTTTAGCTAAACCGATACAAATGACCCTCACACTGATCTTCCTGAGACCTTTCTGACTCGCCCATCCCTCTGAGCCTGGGTCCAGGACAGGCCAAAAAGGGGAAGTTTTCAACTTAAGAAGTATGTCTGAACTTTTTATTTTCTAATTTCTATAAATTTCTATTGTTTATATTCTACAAACAATAACCCCTAGCTCTTATCAATGACCTCCCTTTGGGATCTACTATCATTATCCCCATTTTAAAGATGGGGAAACTGAGGTATAGGGAGGTGAAGTGACTTGCCCCACTGAACTGGGAACAGAACCCAAGTCTCCTGATTCCCAGTGTGGTGCTCTATCCACTAGGAAACACAATCTCTCAGATTCCTGTAAGAGGGATGCATGAGAGTAAAATCATTCTCTCGTCCAATTTGTGCCCAACTTGTACTAGGAGCTGTACAGAGCTACAGGCAGGGGAGGTCTCTGCCCTGCAGTGTGTTCCCAATTGAAAGCTCCAATCTTGCAACTGGAACCAAAAAGCTAGATCCCCATGTCCCTATAGAGTCATATTGATTTCTAGTCTAGAGAGGTTCTTACATCACGCTCATCACTGGTACATTAAGCAACGTGACTAAATTCTGCCGCGTTTCAGCAGGACAACTTCCATGTGCGAAGTTAAGCACGCAATCATCTATCTGCAGGATGCAGGCCCAATTTACAAGCATCTCATAGTCACCATTACCATTTCCACTTGCCGTCACCTAGTTTCCTCTTTGTATTTGTGCGGGGCTTTCACGCAGCGCAGGAGAGAGTTAAAGTCATTCAAAGCCATTAAAAGTGTTCAACTTATCAAGAGGAGGCCTAAGAGGCGATTTGAACACAGTGTATAAATACCTTCACAGAGGCAAAATCCCGGATACTGCAGGGCTCTTTAATCTAGAGGAAAAAGGCAGAGCAAGAACCGATGGCTGGAAGCTAAAGTCAGACAAATTCAAGGGAGAAATAAGGCACAGGTTTTTAACAGTGAAGGTGATTAACTACTGGAACAAACTTCCAAGGGGAATCGTGGATTTTCCATCTCTTGGGGGTCTTCAAATTAAGAGTGGGCCACTTGCTGGAAGATGTGCTTTAGACAAACACTTGTTAGGGGACTCAATGCAGAAGTCATTGGGTGAAATTCTCTGGCCTGTATTATACAGGGGGTCAGCTGAGATGTTCTAACAGGCCTTAACATCTATGAAAAACAAAATGTGATTTTAAACCCACAGATGCCAGCAGGGGGATGGTGCCGGGTCTGGAATAACTTTTGGGTCAATTTCAGAAATTGTGGATACTGCCCCTTGAAGGTCAACAGGGGGCACTCTTGCAAATTGATTTGCCTAGCAATGACTTTAAATGACTGGCTGTCTAGAAAAGGAGAGGGCTAAAAAAGAAAACAAACCACGAACAGCTAACCCCTGCACCTAAACTATCTGACCATGAACCTTTAAGGCCAAAGGGCTCTGGGAGAACTGGAGTGGCGAGGGGATACTTGCAGAGGGTTTGCACTTTATCCCACTCCTGAGTCATGTTTGTTTCTTTACTTCACTAACTAACCTCACGCATTAAAACACAAAGAGAGAGCAACAAACTAAACGGAAGAGCCAGGGACCCAAGTACCTGTCACTCACTGTATCCCTCAGACCTTTCCAGTCCTGCACCTAGCTGTAATCCCACCTCTGCTCTTTCCCCTGAGACATGGGGGTCTAGTAATCTTTTCAGATCACTGGATAACTTCCCAACCACGCCCCGTGAACCCAACCAGCAGCCCACAGCACAACCACCACCAGAAAGACAGACCGTCTTCAACAGAACCCTTTAATAGTTTTCTTTGTGCATAAAAAAGTACAAAAGAAGGATGCACAGACCGCCTCCTACTGGGCCATCAGACCCAGGCTGCCTGGAGTCATTCGACACTCCGAGATAAAGAGCTTGCGAATTAAATCCCACAGCAGGGAGAGGACTACACAGGCTGCAGCCAGAAGGGAACAGTTAAGCAGGAAGAGGGACAATTGGAGTAGCCTTTGATGTCTGGAATAAGTCAGTCGAGGTCAAAATCTGGAAGAGCTGGGCCTGGGGAACCATTGCTTAGAAATGACGAATACAATGGTCCAATCTCATGCATCTGGGGCTGTCAGGCAGCTTCTTCCATTAATAATGGTTTGCCCCAGAGCACAGGGTGCTCTTTCCTTCTGTGCTGGCAAAGGACAGCAATCTAGACACAATCTCCACTGCCTGCCCCCGGGTTGAAGGATCAGCTTCAGTCTCAGCAGAGTTACCCTGATAGAAAGAAAACCCGCAGGTCATTTTTGCAGGCACCAGCCAGGTGCCAATTCCAGATCCCTGGTGCCCTTGGAATCTATCAGCCGATGAGACTTCCTCCCTTCCTCTTGAATCAGCCAGCTGGGATCCCCCTGCTCCTAATTCCCACTTTACCAATGGCTCTTGGTCAGGCAGGTAAAATTCCACCTTGCCCTTGTGCCGACAAACAGGGCTGGGTGGGTTAAGCCACCTGCTGTGTGCAGACAAGGGGAGGAATTGACATCAGCTCATGCCCCATCTCCTTGCCTCGCGCAGAAGGAAGCAGTTCTAATTTCTTGCCAACAATCCACGGTGTGGCCTTCTCCCAGCGCGTGCTCCAAGCCCAGGCTCACGCTGGCCCCTGCAAAATGAACATCCTCTTCCTCCACTAGGCGAGACCAGTTGGGTTTCTCTTTGTTGGAAGTCTGCTGGGTAAAGCCTTTAATGCCAAGAAGAATAAGGGAACTAGAACAGTCCGCTGTCCTGACCAGAGCTCTTGTAACGGCTGGCTGGACTTACCAGACGTAGATTTTCCCCCCGGAGACGCCAGAATCCTCAGAAATCTCCTTGTAAATCTAAAGGAAAGAAACACAGGATCTTATGCACCAGAGAAAGCTGCACCTGTGGCTTATTATACGTCTGCCTTTCTTTTCCTCCAAGCCAGTGATTCTCAGATCGCAGCAGTTCAGGAGCCAAATTAGCGCTCAGCATTCCCCAGCAGAGCCGCCAGCATGTGAATTCATTGTTTCATTGATGATGGGTGCTCTATATTCATATTTTTAACAGAATGACGGGGAAATATTGAACGTATATATTATTCTCACAGCAAAATCACTGACTAGGTATTATTATTTGATCAACTACAATCAGTTATAACACAGTAAAAGCACCCTGATGGGCTAATAATTAAATCATAGTGGTTTAATATCACGTGCTGCGAAGAGCGGCAGGAGACACACCGAAGAGCTACCCGGTCTGAGTGTGGCTGCAGTAAGCGGAAGTTTGCGGGCATTAAGACACACAACCTTCTTGGTTACGTTCTCATTGAACAGAGCAATGCAGTTCATCCCTAAGACTGTCCGTCCGTAGTCACTTCAGCCACCATGTGCAGGTCCCTGGGTCTTTGTTATTAACTATTTGTATTACAGCAGAGCTCAGAGGCTTCGGCTGAAATCAGGGCCATACCATGCTCGGTGTTCTGCCGCATCTCAGTCCCAAAGAGTTCACAGCAGCTAACCCGAGTTAAGAGCAGAGTTGCCATGTCTTCAGCACTGGATTAACCTGAGTGAAGAACACCCCTTTTATCTGCAGGGAGGACACAACCTAAGGGGAGCTGAAGTCACTTTTCAGGGTGACACAGCTGAAATAGAACCCAGGCAGCTGTGCACTGACCATTGGACAGTATCGCCCTCCCACGCTTAGAAGTCAGGACCACATTTCTGCAGGGAAGGGAGAGCCCTGAAAGGTTTCGAGCGGCCTGGAAGAGGAAAAGCCCCACCCAGTCCCCTCCTTGGCCCCTACCGCTCTTCCTGAGAAGCTCCCCTTTGCGAGACTTGTCCATTTCCTCCACGAACCGTTCGAAGACTCTCACGTAAGGAGCCAAGCTGGTTTTCTTGTAGTCTAAGGGACAAAGAGAGACATGTGCAAAGGATCTGCTGGCCGTACAGAGCATGATGCGGGAGATCCTGCCATGCAGCCCCACTTCCTCCTGTATGGAAAGCCCTGAGAGCCCCATGTTACAATCCCTCACACCTGGGCTCTCAAGGCTGGCTGTATCAAGAGGGGACGTGAATTCAACCTCCGTCCAGGCCTGTATCGTAACTTAGCCTTCGTAGTTTCAGCGCTGGTTTACTGTGTCAGGTGTACAGGGAAAATTCCACCCCCCCAGCATTGCTCACATTGCTGCAGTGGGATGCTGCCACTGCAGAATGGCAGTGTTGCCTAGAGGCTAGTGCACAGGCTTGTGACTCGGGAGACCTGAGTTCAATTTCTGGCCCTGCTGGAGTGACTTCCCCTGTGTGTACCTCAGTTTCCCGATCTGTAAAACAGGGGATAATGTGAAAAGCGCTGTAGAAGAGAAAGGGGTTAATTCTTATTAAAATGCCACTGGGCTCTGCAGCAGTTAATTCACACGTCTGGGAGTTTGCCGCTAGGGTTGGGAAAAATTCTAAAGCTGGGGGCACTTTTTGTTCTACTTTGGAAGCTCATTTTCCGGGTGCAGCAATTTCCAGGGGGTGCCTCTTTCCTCCCCTTCGCGAGCTGAAGACCTCTGTGCTGTGCGCCCTGGAGCAGCTCCGGCCGTTGCATGAAACTGAGCCAGCCCCTTGGTTGACGAGTGGCTCTAGGAACATGGGGAACCTGGTTGAGGCCGCTCTGGGGACCGGAAATACTGACTAGGAAAGAGGGGTATCAACTTGCAAGACTGACCGCTGGGTCAATACGTAAGCTAGTCTCCCCCGCGCCCAGACGGAGCTGCCATGCCTGACCTCAGTTGTTAGAATATTCTTTGTCTACAGCATCACCAGCGAAGTTCGGGCCCCACCGGGCCGGGCGCTGCACAGACACACAGCAAGAGGCAGCCCCGGTCCTGGAGAGCTTGCAAGCTAAACAGATGAGAGAGGCTGGGAGGGGAAACTGAGGCAGAACACGGCAAAGTGCCTTGCCCATGGGCACAGAGCAAGGCACAGAACCCAGGTCTCCTGTCTCCTAGACCACGCTCTCTTCCGTGGTCCCATATTAACGTGTTTTAATAAAAGCAGCATCTTTCGGGACGACTGCCTCCAGCCACTCACCCCTGGTGCGACGCTTGGGCACTGGCTCCGCCTCGTTTTCCTTCTCTCCATCCTCCTCCTCCTCCTCCTCATGAGCCGTGTCCAGTTCACTACAGAGGCGGCTAAGAACAAGCAGAGTGAGAGTCCCTTAGAGCTGGCTACCCAACGCCGCTGGTTAGCCTGTAGCCACGATCGGCCCCACCAAACAGATCAGCACAGAGCAGCCTCATGGCACGGCTGCTCACTCGCGGAGCGCAGACCCGGCCCACTCCGCGCCGGACAGATCACGCGAGAGAGGGGTTCCCTGCCCCGCGGTGTAAAAACCAACCAACTGGCCCCATCCACCTTGTGCTGATAAATACCTTGGGGATCGCTTGTTGCTTCTGCACTCATTAGGAGGCTCCATTCCCCCCTCCTGCCTCCCCACATGCCAGGGGCTGAGTCTCCCACTGTCCCCTGCTCCATTCCAGGAGCTCTGTCTCTCTTTCTTTTGTCTCCCCCCGGTCCCTGGATTGGCAAGTGGCTGGTGCGTGCTCTCTCCCTGACCAAAGATCCTCATATTACAACACATGCTAGGAAGGATGAAGTCTCCTCTCCTTCTGGCTCGCCTCGATGGCTGAACATTGCCCCACAGGGCAGGGGCTCTGGGTGTCCCCCATTTTCTCTCTCCCCATTTCCTGATCTCCCCCCAAATCAAAAGGGTTCTGCCCGTCGACGCTGGAATCCCAGACTGAACGAAAAGCAGCATTCGGAAGTGATTGTGTTACACAGCCAGACAGGCCCCATCATGCGGAGAGAGGGGTCCCGCAATCCCGGCCCATCACTGGTACCTTATGGTTGGAACGGCGAACGGGTCAAACTGATCCAGCTTCTGCAAATCGATCGGGACCGAAACACGACCTAGGAGAGGCAAAACCAGCATCACCTTACCAGTGGCGTGTTTCCTGTGTCACCCAGAGGCCACAATGAGGGGTCAGGGCCCCTTGGGCTGGAAGCTGCGCAAGAAAGAAGCTAGACAGCCCCTGGCCTAAAGAGCTAGCAACCTCGGTTTGCTGCGAGTCTCAGGTGGAGACACACAGCCAGGGCTGAAGAGAGGGAGGGGACAGGGACAGAAGCGAGTTTAGCATAGGGAGATGCAGTCACAGCTCACCACGAGCCCAGGCAGGGGATGGGACTGTCTTTTGGTTGTGTTTGGACAGCGCCTAGCGCAACGGGGCTCATTAGGCCCTGCACATTACACTGGCCGAGGTACGAGATGAGGAAGGTAAGGTAAAGACGGTGGGGATTTCTGGACTGCATGGAGACCTGGGTCCGCAGGCAGGAGCTGACCGTCAGCTCTCTGCCCGAAAGGAAGCTCATGGCGCCAGGATCTCCCATTGCATTAGCCAGGGGAGCGTCTGGCAGGGAACTTACTCCCCACCCTGGTCTGAAACAAGGAGGGGCTTCGGGGGCTGCCGACGGGGCGGAAGGCGGCTGGCTGAGTTTCTCACGCTGGCGAGATTCCCCACCCGCGGAATGGGGATAACACGACCGCCCCGCCCCGCCGGACCTACATCGGTGTGCATGCATGACCTGTTTTGGGGTGGACGCTGAACGGGCTCTTCAGTAAGTGGCTGACTCCCTTGCTGACGTTGATATCCAGCCGGGGGAAGCAGAACTGCAACATGATCTCCGACTCCGCGTGGGAGGGCTAGGAGCAGACGGATAGTCATGGGCTGGGGACGACTTTTGTGCTACAAGGCCCCATACGCTCCCTATCTCTGCGCCCGCTGGAAACGAGTCCTACCCCGGAGATTCAAGGACGTCACCACCCCAGGTAAAGCCAGCGTCCCCGATTCTGGATGCGAACCAGTCACCAGGGAATACCCCTCGCCGTGGGGTGCTGTTGGCAGGGCAGGGCATCCCCATCCGAACAGGGCCCAGTGCTGGATTGGGACTCAGAAGCCTGGATTCTATTCCCGACTCTGCCACTGGCAAATCCCACCACCTCGCTGTGCCTCAGTTTCCCCATGAGTAAAATGGGAGGGAACGATACCAATCTTTGTAATGCACTTTGAGGCTGACGGATGGAAAGCGTCAGATAAGAGCTAGGCACTGTTATTATTCTAGGGGCGTGCCCAGATCTGGATACTGCAGAGGCCCATATAGGGCTGGGGCAGGAGCAGAGAGTAAGTTAAATCAGACCCCAGAACCTGATGCAAAGAGCACTGAACCCAACGGGGGAAAAAATATTCAATCAATGGATCGGGCCCAAAGACTAACTGTCCCCAACGAGCCACAAAGCACCTCGATTCTCTCCCATCCCCAGCTACATTCTTGGGCTGTTCCTTACCCTGCATTTATCCATTTTGTTTTTCAGGAGCTCCCAGCGCTGGAGCGAATCACGCTTTTTGGGGAATTCCCGCAGCAGGCTCTCTCGAACCGGTGATCAGCTGTTAAGGGGTTACAACAAGGCTCTCCTAGGGGCCAACTCCCCATCAAGGGAACACCGAAGCTCCAATATTCAAAAGGCAACAGCTGGGTCACTGTCCGAAGGGCAGTAGCATGGGGACTGGGTCTCTGTGAAGCCCCCCTCAGAGACAGACAAAGGCCCTAGGAGCTTACAGCACTGTGCGTCAATCCCACGCACACGCCTTTGTATTTCTCTTGTGCCAAAGGCACGCCACGAGCATTTCCCATCTCGGAGAAGTGGGGAAAACGCAGCTATACCCCAAGAAACCCAGACCTGACCAACTGACACGGCTACAGGGCTATTACAATGCGTGTAACGCGACAGCCCCTAGAAGCCCTGACCGAGATTGGACCAGGTGCGCTCTGTGAAGGCAGGACAGGACTCTGTGGCCCAGAGCCCCAGCAGGTGGAAACTGGGGTCACTCTACTGCGATCGATGGGCAGCCCCCCAGGCGGTAGCTCCCGCGAATTACAGGCTTGGCCCGTTGATTTCACTGCCCGATAACCGTTTCTCGGCTCCCTTGACAGATGTCGCCCCTAGAGCCGAGCTGAAGGCACTCGGCGCATCCCGCATGCAGAGCCTCTGTCTCGGGAGACTCCAAGAGCCGGGACCCTCGAGTTCTAGCCCCCATCCCCAGAGGCAGCGCTTTAGGAAAGGCCCTGCGAACAGCCGAAGGATATGCTCTGGGACGAGGGCAACCACCTTCTCCCAGCTCTCGTTGCTGCCCAGGATATCCTGGCCCACCAGGGCGTATTCTTCGAAGTACGGCTCCACCAGACTCAGCGAGTTGCTGGGGGAACAGGGGGTGGGGGGAGATGAGAGAGCTAAGAAGCTTGATGAGCTGCCATGCGCTTTGGCAGAGGAAGGCAACACAACGCCTGGATTTAAGCCTGATGCCCCTAATGCCACATGGCGGGCCTGACGCTCAGCTACTTCCTCCCTGCACGTAGGGCGAGGGGGATCTAAGCTGTATTCTGAGACCAGGCAGGATCCTGCCTGGCTCCTGATTAAGTTAGAGCAGCCCCAGGGCTACTCCAGCATACACTCCTCTCCCTGTGGCCCTCAGGAAGCAGAGATTAGCCATAACTCAAGTGCAATCTAGTCACACCCTCACCTGCCCGCTATGCCAGGGGCTGGGCGCAGAGCAGATGAAGAGCCCCTTATGTCTTGCTCCACACCATCGCGGAGGGGCTCCCAGGGAGTCATTCTCACCTCCTTTAAGCTGCTTAAGCGGCACAGAGGGGTCTGAATACAACCGACACCCAGGCCCAATGCGCCCCGGAGCAGGGCACGGCACGCGACTAACCCAGACTGAGGTACATGAGATGCCATCCAGCGTCACGGCAACTGACCTGATGAACGGGTGAATGGGGTCAGTCAGGTTCACCTTCTTTACGGTTTCGGACCCGCCCTGGGAAGCGAAAGAGGAGACGATTCGTACAGCCCAACCCCTCCCCTTATCCAGAAACCAGACGCTGAGCGAGGAGCCCAGCGCCAGGCACCGGGGTGGGAGATTCTGGCTCGAGGGCACCATCTGCAGAGGACCTGAATGCTCACAGCTCCAGCTGGGGTCCATGCTCCGGACCAACCACAGACGCCCTCGAGGTTAGAGCCCTGCAAGCCTGAGTCTGCAGACCCGGCCTCAGGCTTGCTGTCGCGGGTCTTTTTTTTTTTTTTTGCAGTGTAGACGTACCCATTCTGCCTCAGTTGTGCAAATGGGGGGGGGGGGGGGGGGCTGCCTCTCAAGGGGGTGAGGATAAAGCCATTGCTGATACCGCAGTGACTGGGGCCAGGCGAGCACCTACGACCGACAGACCCCATACTTGCGTTGCCGTGCTCAGCACGGCCTGGCTTCTGAAGAGAGATGGGAGGCAGCCAGTTTCTCAGGCCACCCCTGCCCCGTCGGCTCCCACGCACCTTCACGAGGGTGAGATACTCCACCGTCGCGGAGCGCATGGCGGACGACCACTTCCGGACGGCGTCATCACACACCCAGCAGTGGACGCCTCGCCGGCCCGAATACACCCACAGGCGGTGCTTCACCCCGAAATCCTCTGCGGCGGGGAGGGGGACACGGAGCAAAGTCAGCGCAGAGCTCGGGTTGGAAACAAGAAGGATCGTACAAGAAACAGGTAAACCTCTGTGGAGCAGAGTTCTGGGGCGCCCTGGGTCCCACAGAGGGCCAGGATACATGGGGTTACGTTCTGGAGTCTGCAAACAGACCCGAGAGAGGCTCCAGTTTATTTTGCATCCCACATGCCCTACGAGCCCTCTTGCCCCTCCTGGCTTAGCCCATATCCCTGTTGGCAAACGGGTTAAAACGAGCGGCATCATAACTGACACAGAGCTGGTCAGGAGCCCAGGGCGAACAGCACCCCTCGGGCTGTGCCAAAGGACCCCGCACGGCTCTCGCCAACACATATGTGGCCTACATATCCCAGCATGCAGTGTGCCATCTCGACCTGCAATGCACACTGGGACCTGTGGTCTCTGCGGGTCCCACCGCCACATGTCGGGCCGCTGAAATGGGTCCCGTTTTACACCAAATAGGAGTTGCCAAGGCGACTCCCAGCCAGGTGGAGAGGGGGGGGGGATGATGACGACGGACGACGACCACCGCAGACTTCTGGGACGCGGTTAGGGAGGAAACGGCCGAGCCCCAACGGTGCCATGCAGACCGGCCAATAGAGCAGTGATGGGCCCCAAGGGGCGCGGCGGGTACTTGCCCACGAGCGCGCGGTCGATGACCCGGATCGCGATGGTCATAAGGGTCCAGCACTTGGAGCAGATCTCAGCGGAGCTGAAAGGAGAGCGGCACGGAGGCAAGGCAGAGTAAGCATGAGCCTTCCACAGTATAAACCCCCATGACCCGGGCACGGCTGACCAAGCAGCCACAGGGTCCTGCTGTCAGAACCACACCCAGTTGCCTACCCCTTGCTCATAGCCAGGGTGGGAACTCTCTGGGGCAGCGCCTTTGTGACCTTGGCCTGACCCCGTGCCTCAGTTTCCCCATCTGTAACATGGGGTTCCTTTGTCTGCTTCATCTCTTTAGACTGCAAGTAGGTTGGGGCAGGGACTGTCTCATAACATGTCTGTGCCACACTGGGGCTCTCTAGGAGCGACTGGCAAGAGCAAATACCTGCAGCAGCTCCGGACGTCGTCGTAATCCGTCATGTCTATATCGAACACCAGCTCCTTCTCCTGAGCCTGGAAGGCGCCCCGGTGCACGGTGTTGCACTGGCTTGGCTGCAGAAGGGGAAGAACCGGTCAGTTTCGACGGCCGTGGGGCCCGCGCGGGCGACCGCCGGTTTGGCCGGGGATCCCTCCACGGGACCTGCTAAGCCAGCGGCGTTGCATTCACGTGCCACCAGAATCGCTGCATTACAAGGCAACGGAGATGGGTCTGGCCACCAGCCCTCGCCGCGGCGGCTGCTACAGGGGATTTTGCAATGTGCTCCCAGCCCCAGGCTAGCACCTCGTCCAGCTCTCTCCCTCGGTTGGCGGGGAGCAAGCAGCGTCTCGCAGACCCCGCACCGCACCAGGGATCCTGCCACACAAATGGCACTTCCCGCACCAGACCGGGAGTCAAGATTCCTGGGCTCTAGTCCCAGCTCTGGGAGGGCAGCGTCGTCAAATGCAGGGGCTCTCAACGTTTCCAGACCGCTGTCCCCCCTTTCAGGAGTCCGATTTGTCTTGCGCACCCCCAAGTTTCACCTCACTTAAAATTACTTGCTTACAAAATCAGACATAAAAACACAAGTGTCACAGCCCCACCGTTACTGAAAAACTGCTTCCTTTCTCATTTTTACCATCTAATTATAAAATAAATCGACAGGAATATAAATACTGTCCTGACGTTTCAGTGTACAGAGCAGTATCAAGTCTGTATGAAATTGTAGTTTGTCCTGACTTCACTAATGCTTTTTATGTCACCTGTTGTAAAACTAGGCAAATCTCTAGATGAGCTGACGACCCCCCTGGAAGATCTCTGCCTACCCCCGATAGAGAACAACTGGTCAAATGGTTAGAGCAGTGGGGCTGGGAGTCAGGACTCCGAGGATCTCCTGCTAGTCCGATGGTGCAGGGGATGGAGAATATGAATTAGGACTCCTGGGTTCTATCCCAGGCTTCAGGATTAGTCTGGTCAAACGGTTAGAGCAGAGGGCCCGGGAGTCTTTGTTCCTAGGTGTACGACTTTACATTAGTCCCTACTGAAAACACAGTTTGCGTGCGTCCAGTTTACCAAGCAACCCAGATCGCTCTGTGTCAGTGACCTGTCCTCTTCACTCTTCTCCCAATTTTCTGTGTCATCTGCCAACTTCGTTAGTGACGATTCGACGTTTCCTTCCAGTTCAGTGACACATGGTCAAGAACCAACTCCTGAGGGACCCGCCCTAGAAACGCACCCTCTCAGTGATAATTCCCTATTTACAATTAGTTTGAGTCCCGGCAGTCAGCCAATTTTGAATCCATTTAATATGTGCCATGTTGATTTAGCATCGCTCTAGTTTCTTAATCAGAATGGCACGTGGTACCAAGTCAAACGCCTTGCAGAAGTCGATCACATCAGTGGTTCTCACCCAGGCGTATGCAGGGATCTTCCGGGGGGTACGTCAACTCATCTAGATAGTTGCCTCGTTTTACAACAGGTGACCTAAAACGCACTAGCGAACTCAGGACAGACTACGATTTCATACAGACAATGACTTGTTTATGCTGCTCTGTACACTGAAATGTTAGTACAAAATTTATATTCCAATCGATTTATTTTATAATTAATGGTACAAATGAGAAAGTCAGCCATTTGTCGGTAATAGGACGCTGTGACACTTCTGTATTTTTGTCTGATTTTGTAAGCAAGTAGTTTTTAAGTGAGGTGAAACTTGGGGGTGCGCAAGACAAATCGGACTCCTGAAAGGGGGACAGCGGTCTGGGAAGGTTGAGAACCGCTGGATTACATCAACACTATGACCGTTATCAACCAAACTTGCAGTCTCATCGGAAAAAGATCGCAAGCTACTTTGACAAGATCTGTTTTCCATAAACCCCTGTTAATTGGCATTAATTATATTATCCTGCTTTAATTCTTTATTTATCGTGTCCCGTATCAACAGTTCCATTATATTACCTGGGAACAAGGTCAGGTCTATAATTTACAAGGTCATCCCTTTTCCCAGTTTAGCCACATCCCTCTCTGGGCCTCTGTTTCTCCATCAATAAAGAAAAACGATAAGTCACCTGGGTGACCTGCCCTGTCTACACTCCGGGTGCTAGAATCGTACGGCTACCGTGCCATAGCTCTCCCGCTGTAAACTCATCGTGTAGACGCAAGGAACTCCACTTCCCTCAGCATTCATCCTTCGACCAAGCTGAATCTACACCCTGGGTTAGGCTGGCAGAGCTGAGGGGCTCGGGGCGGGGAGGGATTTTGACGCCCTGGAGCACCATCACTACGCTGATGTTCGTTTAATGCGTAGACCAGACCGGCGAATACTGGATCTCTCAGTCCGGACTCACTCGATGCGAATACACGGCTCCCACGTCGATCTTATAGGGGTTCATTTTCTGCATCTCTTTCTCCAGCTCCTGGGGGCTGTTGAAGGACTGGTACCGCACGTAGATGTCATCGCGCAGCGTGAAGGAGAACTCCCGCCGCTGGAAGTAATTCTTCACCACTGCAAGGGAAACGGCTGCTGCACTTGGGACTGTCTGAGCGCCCTAGGGAGCTGCTGGAGTGCGCACACACCCCGATCTAAGGGCCCTCAAGCCTGACCTACAGCCCCCCGCTCCCTTAGCTTGGGGCTCCCCCCACACGCAGCTCCTCACCCCTTAGATCCCCTCCTTCCCTGCTGCCCCCCCGAAGGGTCCCAACTTCAGGACCTGGGCCTTTTAGAATCCTTCCTTTTACACTTCCCTGTCCTGCTCCCTCCCCCCATCTTCCCCCCACGGTACAAGCTTCCCCCTCCCCGAGCATGCACCCTCCCCCCCGTGCACGTGTCCCCCCATGCATGCACCCCCATCTCCCTGTGCACCCCCATATCGCCATGCACCCCCCACCACTCCTTTCGTGCACCCCCTGCGTGTACCCCTCATCTCCCCGTGCACACACCCCAATCTCCCCGTGCACCTCCCCACCGCCCCCCTGCGTGAACCCCTCCGGGCACCCCCCCATCTCCCCGGGCACCCCCCCCCTGTGCACACCCTCCATCTCCCTGGGCACCCCCCGCCGTGCACACACCTCATGTCCCCGTGCACGCCCCCCATCTCCCCGGGCACCCCCCCGTGGACGCCCCCCATCTCCCCGGGCACCCCCCATCACCCCCCCATCTCCCCGGGCACCCCCCATCTCCCCGTGCACGCCCCGCCGTGCACGCCCTCCATCTCCCCGGGCACCCCCCCCCCCGTGCACGCCCCCCATCTCCCCGGGCACCCCCCCATCTCCCCGGGACCCCCCCCGTGTGCACGCCCTCCATCTCCCCGGGCAACCCCCCCCCCCGTGCACACACCTCATGTCCCCGTGCACGCCCTCCATCTCCCCGGGCATCCCCCCCCCGTGCACACACCTCATGTCCCCGTGCACGCCCTCCATCTCCCCGGGCATCCCCCCCCGTGCACCTCCCCATCTCCCCGGGCACGCCCCCCATCTCCCGGGCACCCCTCCATCTCCCCGGGCATCCCCCCCGTGCACGCCCTCCATCTCCCCGGGCATCCCCCCCCGTGCACGCCCCCCATCTCCCCGGGCATCCCCCCCCATCTCCCCGGGCACCCCCCCGGGCACGCCCCCCATCTCCCCGGGCACGCCCTCCTGTGCACCCCCCGATCTCCCCGGGCACGCCCCGCCGTGCACGCCCTCCATCTCCCCGGGCACCCCCCCCCCCGTGCACACACCTCATGTCCCCGTGCACGCCCCCCATCTCCCCAGGCATCCCCCCCGGGCACCCCCCATCTCCCCGGGCACGCCGCGCGCTGCGTGCACCCCCCGAGAGCCCCCGGCGGCCGGAGCCCCCCCAGCTCACCCCCGCCGTAGCTGAGCCAGCGCCCGTAGGGCCCGTGGGGGAAGAGGCGGCGGTAGTAGAGCGGCAGCAGGTCGGGCAGGGAGCCCGGCTCGAACCCGGCCATGGCCCGCGGGCCGCAGGGGCAGGGACCGGCCGGCGCGCGCGGGAACCGGCTCGCGCGCGGCGCACGTGGGCAGGGCGGGGCCGGCGCGGGGCGGCTGGGAGCTGTAGTCCGGGGGGGGGGGCTCGCTCCGCGGCAGCCCCGGGGGCGCGACGCGAACCCCCGCCCCCCCCCCCAGCCCGCATTGCAGAGCGAGCCTGGGGGCTGCAGAGCGAGCCTGGGGGCCGCTGCGCCTCGCAACCCACCTGCAAAGCCCCTGCAGACTTCAGGGGCACCTCCCCCCCCCGGGCACCCCGAGGTGCTGCAGCCCCCCCCCACCGCCAGGCACCCCAAGGTGCTGCAGCCCGAGCCCTCTGACTCCAGCGCAATGCAGGGCGGCCCCAGTCACCGCACGGGCCCCCAGAGGTGCAAACCAGCCCCCTGCCTACGGTGCCTTGCAAAGCCCCTGGGGGCCGTGGGCAGCAGAGCCCCCCGCCTGGCAAGGCCAGTGCCCCGAGTGGCGTGAGGAGCCAAGTCCCGCCTCAGACTGCAGCCCCCTGACTGCGATGCCCGGCGGCTCGCTGCCCGGAAGGGCCACCCCCGTCCCCACTAGGGCGACCAGATGTCCCGATTTTATAGGGACAGTCCCCATTTTTGGGTCTTTTTCTTATCTAGGCTCCTATTACCCCTTGCCCCCGTCCCGATTTTTCACATTTGCTGTCTGGTCACCCTAGTCCCCACGTACACAGCCCTCCGCCCCAGCCACCGCCCCCCAGCACACGCATCGTTCAGGGGGAAGCTGCGGCGGGATGGAACGGGACTGGCCGTGTGTCAGAGGCCCTGTACTGATCGCATGTCATGGAGATCCTCGCCATCTCACGGGGTCAGGGCCCACGCTCCTCTAGTACCATATTGCTTCTCTGCGCCCCCCCTCCCACCTATCTATGGGTTTGTCTACACTACGGAATAAGGTCGAATTTATAGAAGTCGGTTTTTTAGAAATCGGTTTTATATATTCGAGTGTGTGTCTCCCCACAGAAAATGCTCTAAGTGCATTAACTCGGCGGAGTGCGTCCACAGTACCGAGGCAAGCGTCGACTTCCGGAGCGTTGCACTGTGGGTAGCTATCCCACAGTTCCCGCAGTCTCCGCTGCCCATTGGAATTCTGGGTTGAGATCCCAATGCCTGATGGGGCTAAAACAGTGTCGCGGGTGGTTCTGGGTACATATCGTCAGGCCCCCGTTCCCTCCCTCCCTCCGTGAAAGCAAGGGCAGACAATCATTTCGCGCCTTTTTTCCTGAGTTACCTGTGCAGACGCCATACCACGGCAAGCATGGAGCCCGCTCAGGTAACTGGCACTGTATGTCTCCTGGGTGCTGGCAGATGCGGTACGGCATTGCTACACAGCAGCAGTAACCCCTTGCCTTGTGGCAGCAGACGGTACAGTATGACTGGTAGCCGTCATCGTCATGTCCGAGGTGCTCCTGGCCACGTCGGCTGGGAGCGCCTGGGCAGACATGGGCGCAGGGACTAAATTTGGAGTGACTTGACCAGGTCATTCTCTTTAGTCCTGCAGTCAGTCCTATTGAACCGTCTTATGGTGAGCGGGCAGGCGATACGGACTGCTAGCAGTCGTACTGTACCATCTTCTGCCGAGCAGCCATGAGATGTGGATGGCATGCAGTCCTTCTGCACTGTCTGCTGCCAGCCAAAGATGTAAAAGATAGATGGAGTGGGTCAAAACAAGAAATAGACCAGATTTGTTTTGTACTCATTTGCTTCCCCCCCTCCCCTGTCTAGGGGACTCATTCCTCTAGGTCACACTGCAGTCACTCACAGAGAAGGTGCAGCGAGGTAAATCTAGCCATGTATCAATCAGAGGCCAGGCTAACCTTCTTGTTCCAATAAGGACAATAACTTAGGTGCACCATTTCTTATTGGAACCCTCTGTGAAGTCCTGCCTGAAATACTCCTTGATGTACAGGCACCCCCTTTGTTGATTTTAGCTCCCTGAAGCCAACCCTGTAAGCGCCCCTCCCAGCATCAGAGCAACGGCAAACAATCGGGCATCTGAGAGTGCTGTCCAGAGCAGTCACAATGGAGCACTCTGATGGGGCTAAAACATTGTCGCGGGTGGTTCTGGGTACGTATCGTCAGGCCCCCGTTCCCTCCCTCCCTCCGTGAAAGCAAGGGCAGACAATCATTTCGCACCTTTTTTCCTGAGTTACCTGTGCAGACGCCATACCACGGCAAGCATGGAGCCCGCTCAGGTAACCGTCACCCTATGTCTCCTGGGTGCTGGCAGACGTGGTACAGCTTTGCTGCACAGTAGCAGCAACCCATTGCCTTCTGGCAGCAGACGGTGCAATATGATTGGTAGTCGTCCTCGTCGTGTCCGAGGTGCTCCTGGCCGCGTCGGCTGGGAGCGCCTGGGCAGACATGGGCGCAGGGACTAAATTTGGAGTGACTTGACCAGGTCATTCTCTTTAGTCCTGCAGTCAGTCCTATTGAACCGTCTTATGGTGAGCGGGCAGGCGATACGGATTGCTAGCAGTCGTACTGTACCATCTTCTGCCAGGCAGGCAAGAGATGAGGATTGCTAGCAGTCGTATTGTACCATCTTCTGCCAGGCAGGCAAGAGATGGGGATGGCTAGCAGTCGTACTGTACCATCTTCTGCCGAGCAGCCATGAGATGTGGATGGCATGCAGTCCTTCTGCACCGTCTGCTGCCAGCCAAAGATGTAAAAGATAGATGGAGTGGGTCAAAACAAGAAATAGACCAGATTTGTTTTGTACTCATTTGCCTCCTCCCCTGTCTAGGGGACTCATTCCTCTAGGTCACACTGCAGTCACTCACAGAGAAGGTGCAGTGAGGTAAATCTAGGCATGTATCAGTCAGAGGCCAGGCTAACCTCCTTGTTCCAATAAGAACAATAACTTAGGTGCACCATTTCTTATTGGAACCCTCCGTGAAGTCCTGCCTGAAATACTCCTTGATGTACAGGCACCCCCTTTGTTGATTTTAGCTCCCTGAAGCCAACCCTGTAAGCCGTGTCGTCAGTCGCCCCTCCCTCCGTCAGAGCAACGGCAGACAATCGTTCCGCGCCTTTTTTCTGTGCGGACGCCATACCAAGGCAAGCATGGAGGCCGCTCAGCTCACTTTGGCAATTAGGAGCACATTAAACACCACACGCATTATCCAGCAGTATATGCAGCACCAGAACCTGGCAAAGCGATACCGGGCGAGGAGGCGACGTCAGCGCGGTCACGTGAGTGATCAGGACATGGACACAGATTTCTCTGAAAGCATGGGCCCTGCCAATGCATGCATCATGGTGCTAATGGGGCAGGTTCATGCTGTGGAACGCCGATTCTGGGCTCGGGAAACAAGCACAGACTGGTGGGACCGCACAGTGTTGCAGGTCTGGGATGATTCCCAGTGGCTGCGAAACTTTCGCATGCGTAAGGGCACTTTCATGGAACTCTGTGACTTGCTTTCCCCTGCCCTGAAGCGCATGAATACCAAGATGAGAGCAGCCCTCACAGTTGAGAAGCGAGTGGCGATAGCCCTGTGGAAGCTTGCAACGCCAGACAGCTACCGGTCAGTCGGGAATCAATTTGGAGTGGGCAAATCTACTGTGGGGGCTGCTGTGATGCAAGTAGCCCACGCAATCAAAGATCTGCTGATATCAAGGATAGTGACCCTGGGAAATGTGCAGGTCATAGTGGATGGCTTTGCTGCAATGGGATTCCCTAACTGTGGTGGGGCTATAGACGGAACCCATATCCCTATCTTGGCACCGGAGCACCAAGCCGCCGAGTACATAAACCGCAAGGGGTACTTTTCGATAGTGCTGCAAGCTCTGGTGGATCACAAGGGACGTTTCACCAACATTAACGTGGGATGGCCGGGAAAGGTGCATGATGCTCGCATCTTCAGGAACTCTGGTCTGTTTCAAAAGCTGCAGGAAGGGACTTTATTCCCAGACCAGAAAATAACTGTTGGGGATGTTGAAATGCCTATATGTATCCTTGGGGACCCAGCCTACCCCTTAATGCCATGGCTCATGAAGCCGTACACAGGCAGCCTGGACAGTAGTCAGGAGCTGTTCAACTACAGGCTGAGCAAGTGCAGAATGGTGGTAGAATGTGCATTTGGACGTTTAAAGGCACGCTGGCGCAGTTTACTGACTCGCTTAGACCTCAGCGAAACCAATATTCCCACTGTTATTACTGCTTGCTGTGTGCTCCACAATATCTGTGAGAGTAAGGGGGAGACATTTATGGCGGGGTGGGAGGTTGAGGCAAATCGCCTGGCTGCTGGTTACGCGCGGCCAGACACCAGGGCGGTTAGAAGAGCACAGGAGGGCGCGGTACGCATCAGAGAAGCTTTGAAAACCAGTTTCATGACTGGCCAGGCTACGGTGTGAAAGTTCTGTTTGTTTCTCCTTGATGAAACCCCCTGCCCCTTGGTTCACTCTACTTCCCTGTAAGCTAACCACCCGCCCCTCCTCCCTTCAATCACCGCTTGCAGAGGCAATAAAGTCATTGTTGCTTCACATTCATGCATTCTTTATTCATTCATCACACAAATAGGGGGATGACTACCAAGGTAGCCCAGGAGGGGTGGTGGAGGAGGGAAGGAAAATGCCACACAGCACTTTAAGCACAGCACTTTAAAAGTTTACAACTTTAAAATTTATTGAATGACAGCCTTCTTTTTTTTGGGCAATCCTCTGTGGTGGAGTGGCTGGTTGGCCGGAGGCCCCCCCACCGCGTTCTTGGGCGTCTGGGTGTGGAGGCTATGGAACTTGGGGAGGAGGGCGGTTGGTTACACAGGGGCTGCAGTGGCAGTCTGTGCTCCAGCTGCCTTTGCTGCAGCTCAACCATACACTGGAGCATACTGGTTTGGTCCTGCAGCAGCCTCAGCATTGAATCCTGCCTCCTCTCATCACGCTGCCGCCACATTTGAGCTTCAGCCCTGTCTTCAGCCCGCCACTTACTCTCTTCAGCCCGCCACTTACTCTCTTCAGCCCGCCACCTCTCCTCCCGGTCATTTTGTGCTTTCCTGCACTCTGACATTATTTGCCTCCACGCATTCGTCTGTGCTCTGTCAGTGTGGGAGGACAGCATGAGCTCGGAGAACATTTCATCGCGAGTGCGTTTTTTTTCTTTCTAAGCTTCACTAGCCTCTGGGAAGGAGAAGATCCTGTGATCATTGAAACACATGCAGCTGGTGGAGAAAAAAAAAGGGACAGCGGTATTTAAAAAGACACATTTTATAAAACAGTGGCTACACTCTTTCAGGGTAAACCTTGCTGTTAACATTACATACATAGCACATGTGCTTTCGTTACAAGGTCGCATTTTGCCTCCTCCCACCGCGTGACTACCCCCTCAACCGTCCCCCCTCCCTGTGGCTAACAGCGGGGAACATTTCTGTTTAGCCACAGGCAAACAGCCCAGCAGGAATGGGCTCCTCTGAGTGTCCCCTGAAGAAAAGCACTCTATTTCAACCAGGTGACCATGAATGATATCTCACTCTCCTGAGGCTAACACAGAGAGATAAAGAACGGATGTTGTTTGAATGCCAGCAAACATACACTGCAATGCTTTGTTCTACAATGATTCCCGAGTACGTCTTACTGGCCTGGAGTGGTAAAGTGTCCTACCATGAAGGATGCAATAAGGCTGCCCTCCCCAGAAACCTTTTGCAAAGGCTTTAGGACTACATCTAGGAGAACCGCAAATGCCAGGGCAAAGTAATCCTTTCACATGCTTGCTTTTAAACCATGTATAGTATTTTAAAAGGTACACTCACCAGAGGTCCCTTCTCCGCCTGCTGGGTCCAGGAGGCAGCCTTGGGTGGGTTCGGGGGGTACTGGCTCCAGGTCTAGGGTGAGAAACAGTTCCTGGCTGTCGGGAAAACCGGTTTCTCTGCTTGCTTGCTGTGAGCTATCTACAACCTCCTCCTCATCATCATCTTCTTCGTCCCCAAAACCTGCTTCCATATTGCCTCCATCTCCATTGAAGGAGTCAAACAACACGGCTGGGGTAGTGGTGGCTGAACCCCCTAAAATGGCATGCAGCTCATCATAGAAGCAGCATGTTTGGGGCTCTGACCCGGAGCGGCCGTTCGCCTCTCTGGTTTTCTGGTAGGCTTGCCTATGCTCCTTAAGTTTCATGCGGCACTGCTTCGGGTCCCTGTTATGGCCTCTGTCCTTCATGCCCTGGGAGATTTTGACAAAGGTTTTGGCATTTTGAAAACTGGAACGGAGTTCTGATAGCACGTATTCCTCTCCCCAAACAGCGACCAGATCCCGTACCTCCCGTTCGGTCCATGCTGGAGCTCTTTTGCGATTCTGGGACTCCATCATGGTCACCTCTGCTGATGAGATCTGCATGGTCACCTGCAGCTTGCCATGCTGGCCAAACAGGAAATGAGATTCAAAAGTTCGCGGTTCTTTTCCTGTCTACCTGGCCAGTGCATCTGAGTTGAGAGTGCTGTCCAGAGCGGTCACAATGGAGCACTCTGGGATAGCTCCCGGAGGCCAATACCGGCAAATTGTGTCCACAGTACCCCAAATTCGAGCCGGCAACGTCGATTTAAGCGCTAATCCACTTGTCAGGGGTGGAGTAAGGAAATCGATTTTAAGAGCCCTTTAAGTCGAAATAAAGGGCTTCATTGTGTGGACGGGTGCAGGTTTACATCGATTTAACGCTGCTAAATTCGACCTGAAGTCCTAGTGTAGACCAGGGCTAAGCTTTGGCTTGGTATTCGCTATGCTCAGAGCCCTGCTGTTTTCACCTTGCAATCTGTGGCCATGAAGCCTTTGCACGGGGGAGGGGGTAGCGAGGGCTCCACAAATCATTCACTGATTGAAGGCTGGGGCCCAGTCGATCGTGTCCCTGCTTTCCCAGGGGCTGCAAAGGCGGAAACTGCTTCCCTGGCCTCCCTTCAGCGCAGCCTCCCTCGCTAACAGGCAGGCAGGAATGAATGCACTGCCCTGGCTGGTGAACCGCTGGGGGAAAGTTGATATTTGCTGGACCTTGGGGCAGTTAATTATTCATTTCCCCAGCGATAGGGAAGGTGCTGAGATTCCACAGGACAGAGTGCTGGTTGCTGGGGGAAGAGCTGCACCACAGTCCAAGGCTGATCCTGAAATTCACGTGGACAGTGCAGATTTCGACCTCTCCCCATCTTCAAAAAATACCAATAGGAACAAGGGAGAGATTTAGGGTCTGCGTGACAAGGACAATATGCTGCGGCCGGATTACAAATCCTCCTGCTTCAGGGCATGAGCCAGCTTCTAACTATCGGGGGGCAGGAGGAAACGGTCTGTGGGAGACCCTGATCCCAGGGAACACGAGGGGGCAGGGGCCGCTCACTGTGTGTCTGGCCAGCACCCACTACGATGGGGCCCTGCTCTGGGTCAGGGTCTGTGCAGCGCCTGGCACATTAGGGCCCCTAATTTCAGTCCCCGGGGGGGGGGGGGGATCTGTGCAACACCCAGCACAGTGCGTCCGTGATCAGTATGCAATCCAGACCAGTGAGGGGCTCTGTGCTCCCTGCCCTGCAACCTTGCTCCAACGCGGACTGTTCACAACCTGCCACTAGCCTGCAGGTCACTCCCTGGTGTGTGTGTGTAACTGCAGCCTGCCAGGTGCACCCTGGCTCTCACCAGCCTGGGTTACAATGCAGGGTGACCCTGACACACTCCCAGTCCCAGATCCCCCCTGAAACGTACATCCTGTGCTGCCCAGCCCCCTCCTGGACAGGGTGAATGCGGTAAGCCTCTTATTCCTTCAGGGGAATAATATACAGCAGCTTGTCACCTGAACCAGAGTTACCCAGACACCTCAATGTAAACACACTGGGTTAGGTCAAACAGTAAAACAAGCTGATTAGCTACAAAGCAAGAGGCTTGAAGTGAGTACGAGCACCGAGGCATACAAAAATCAGAAATGGCTACAAGAAAAATAAAGATAAAACACTTCCTAGTGCCGAATTTAACAACCTGTATCCGATACAAGCGGAGTTCCTCACCACATGCCTCCAGCGCACGGTCATACTGACCGAACTCTTCAAGTCAGGCCCCGTCCCCCAGAGTCCAACAGCTGTTTCCTTGGTCTTCTCAGCTGCAGAGAATGAGATGGGTAGGGAGAGAGAGGGGGGATTCCCTGAGGTGTTTGTCCCTCCTTTTTATCATTTATGTCCCCCCCATCCCCGAAAAACATTGCCAGCTGAGAACCAGTGGACAAAGCATATATGTGGAAGGATGTTCCCTGCTGGGTTTTTTCACCTGCATGTACTTACATGCAAGTTTCCTTTTGTTTCCTTCCTTCCCCTTTTGCACCTGATGACTCTGTTTACTGCTTAAATGCAGCTTAAGGCAAACACACAGTCTTTTGCTCAGGACAAACCCGCTTGCTGACTTCTGCCAGGGCACGGCTGTGGGGTTTGGACTGTGTGTAAATCACATCGTGCGGGGAAAGCGTCTCGCTTCACATCCAATGCTGCCAAGCCTATGTGGTCAGGACACTACTGATCAGCAAAGGATGAGTTTCCAAACGATACCTCCCCAGGCGTCCCTTGTACAAAGACGGTTACAATGGCGTGCTGGGTGTGAATACAGGGGTGCATTGCATCATGTGGGGGCAGGGGTTGCACAGTGCCAGACACAATGGGGCCCCCACCTCGGTTGGGGGTGTGTGACTGTGTAATGCCTGTCACAATGGAGCCCCAATCTTGGTTGGGAGGGGGGTCCGTCCAGTTCCGGGCACACTGGGGCCCTAATCTCAGAGAAGCACCAAAATCCTGGGCGTTCCCTTCTGTCGATCTCTAGGCAAATGTTATACCAATAAAATAAAAACGAGCAGGATCTTATTAAAGGGGAAAAGGCCAGATGCCATGTTTACTGTGAACACAGAAAGAATCCTGGTAAGCAGTCAGTTATAGCAATAACATTCCATCCAATTTCACATTCATTCACACACACACGGGTTCTGCCAGGTTGTTATCATAGTTACCAGCCTTAGAGTTGCTCGTACCAAGCCACTGGCCAGGAGGCCTGGACACAAGGAGGGAGCAGGGCCTTGTCAGATGTGCATCTGATGCTCCTGGAAGTTGGTCTGCAGAATCAGACCTAAAGTCCTCAGTCTTCAGGGTCTGTTCTTGTAGGGATCCATCCTCCTGTATTTGCCTCGTCATGCTGTTCTCACGTTTGAAGTGACAGTCAGTCACACAGATGGCACAGCAAGGACGGAATGACAGCATGTTGTTGTCTTGTTCTTCGGCCCCCAGTCCCTGGGGCAAGTATGCCCTCAGGGTTATCAGGCTGTCTCGTCCACTGTATTCTTCAGCCAAACGCTCTTATTTTAAGGCTGGCACCTCAATCTTTAATCTTTCATTCCTCGTTCAATCATACATAGAATCCCACTCACACTCCATCGTATATCCTGTCCCATCTGCATTTTGTCACCTACCCATCCTTTAACATAACCATTCTAACATCAGTGGGCCATGGCACACTTCAATAAGTCTACTCATCCCACTTGTTACCCCTAAAAGGAAACAAACAAGATAAGCATGCAAGAGTGGGGGGTTCACAGATCTTATTCTGGAGTTTAGGATGTCACGGGGTCCCCGGGCGATGCTCTGGAACTGCTCCCTATGAAGCCAGTCAGGACTCTGGGGAAGTCTTCTCTCTGGGAGCAGCCTGTCTGCAGGACACACAGCTCACCCGGCTCCACCTTCCTGGGTCTGACCTCGGAGCGCATTCGGCATCCTCTGCCCCTCCGTGCGCTTCCCACAGCAAGTCCGCCCAGGTGGGCTCCTAGGGAAGCCAGAGGGTCCTGCCCCCGAACTCCGCAGTCAGACGGGACTCTCAGCCAGCCAGTAAAACAGAAGGTTTATTAGACGACAGGAACATGGTCTAACACAGAGCTTGCAGGTGCAGAGAACAGGACCCCTCAGCTGGGTCCATTTTGGGGGGCAGTGAGCCAGACAACCCCTTCTGCCCTTCACTCCTCGTCCCCAGCCAGACCCAAACTGAAACTCCCTCCAGCCCCTCCTCCTCTGGGTTTTGTCCCTGTCCCGGGCCAGGAGGTCACTGGATTCCTTTGTTCTCCAACCCTTTAGCTCTCACCTGGCAGGGGGGAAGGGCCCAGGCCATCAGTTGCCAGGAAACAGGGTGTCGGCCATTCTCTGTGTCCAGACCCCTGCACACGCCTGCCCTCTAGGGCTCTGCAATGATCATACACCGTTATCCCACCACCTAGATACTTAAGAACTGCCTAGGGGAAACTGAGGCACCCCCACTCTATTCAGAGGAAACATTAAGAACAGTCCCACTTCGTCACATAGGAAAACAAAGTTTGTACCAGCCATCAAGGACAGCCGTTATCTTGTTACTTTTAGAATAAACTCCTTGTCTCTGGATGTTTTTCTCCAGTTGGCACAGACCTTGCAAATGGGCATAGACGTTGCAAATTGGCAGGCCTCTTTCAGCGAGCACAAACTCAGCAGGCCAAGAGACATATTTTCTTTCTAATGGTCACGCCAAATCCGGGGGTCTGTTCTGGAATTGTTCTTTCTTACATTTTCCACAACATAAAACATTAATTATTACTTTTCATCCAACCCACGCCCATTCCAGCTAATCAGCCTGCCCAGCCACACACTTCCCCGCCTACAGACTAGGCTTTGATACCCCCAGTCTGAGCACCCAGGAACTCAGCACCGCTGGGATTTCACGGGCTGGTTTTTCTGAATCCCTTTTGGGGCCAGAACAAACTGACACAACCCTTTTGTTTATGCACAGGCAGAACCTTGCACCCTGGCCTTTCCTCTGTTGATGCATTCGCCGCCCCCATCCACTGCTCAGACGCCTGCCCGGGACCTCTGCCCAGCTCCGCTCCACGGGGCGTGGTATGTCCTTCACCTTCGTTGTGTCCATCTAGTCCGAAGGCTGCAGACCAGGCAGACCAGGCGGGAGCTGACAGCCAAGGCAAGCGGAGATCTTGCTCACAGGTAGCTGGTTGGAGGCTTGACGGAGCAAAGGGGCTGGTGTCCTCCTGCGTGATTGATACAGGGAAGGGTAGGGGGCAGGGGCTGGCTCAGGGCTGCTGGCTCGGGCAGATCTCAAAGGGACCGTGAACCGTGGTCTGCAGGCCGGCACAACTGCTACCTAGGGCGAATCAAAGGGGTGGGTTCTCCCCTGGCTGGCCTCTTGTCCCGGCATTCACCTCCGTACCCAGCGGCTGTAAACCGGCCCCAGCTGGGATCTCCTACCGTTTGAGGCTGGTGAATTTAGCGGGGCTCGGTGTGTTGGCAGCAGGGCTCGTTGGGAAACCTAGACTCCTGCGGCCCAGCGGGAGTTGCTGGCTGCTAAGCGCAATTGAAAATACGGCCCGTGTTCAGAACATGGGGGGGCTGAGAGCTCGGGAAAATCGGTTTTATGTCCATAAGGAGTTTAATTCTAAAACCCCAGGCTCCGTCTCTTCTAAAGTCCCACTTGTGTTAGATGCGTTGGGCCGTGGTGCTCATGAATCCTGTGGCCGCTGCAGGCAGGCTTCTACGCACTCCTTCGGTGCTCTGCGCTGTTAAGCGGCTGCTCCGACCCACCCCAGAGCTGGCTGCATTTCAGCGCAAGTCTTGCCCCATCTGGCTGGTTGGTTTGTTTGCAGTGCGGGAGGATGTGGCTGTACCTGGCCGCCCTGCTGGGGCTGTACTTCCTGCACCGATGGTATCGGGAGCAGCAGGCAGTGCAGAACCTCCGAGAGAAATACGTCCTGATCACCGGCTGCGACTCCGGCTTCGGGCACCTGCTGGCCAAGCACCTGGATATGCGGGGCCTGCGGGTGCTGGCGGCTTGCCTCACCCAGCAGGGCGCGGAGCAGCTGAAGAAGGCGACGTCGGAGCGGCTGCAAACGGTGATCCTGGACGTCACCCGCACCGACAGCATCGCCGCGGCCACCGCCTGGGTGAAGGAACAAGTGGGGGACAAAGGTGGGGCCCCTGAATCCCACCTGCCCCTTTGCCAGGGGCAGCTCTGAGCTCACACAGGCTGGGGCTGTGCTAATGCGACAGCCAGGAAAGGAGTGAAGGGTTGGGAGCTAGGACTCCTGGGTTCTATTCACATCCTGGGGGGAGGGAGTGGGGTCTAGTGGTTAGAGCAGCAAGCGCTGGGAGCCAGGACTCCTGGGTTCTATTCCCATCTCTGGGAGGGGTGTGGGGGTCTAGTGGCTTAGAGTAGGGGGGGCTGGGAGCCAGGACTCCTAGGTTCTATTCCCATCCTGGGGGGAGGGAGTGGGGTCTAGTGGTTAGAGCAGTGAGCGCTGGGAACCGGGACTCCTGGGTTCTATTCCTATCCCTGGGGAAGAAGGGGGGGGCTAGTGGTTAGAGCAATGGAAGCTGCGAGCCAGGACTCCTGGGGCCTAGTGGCTTAGAGGGTGGGGGGCTGGGTGTCCTGCCCTCCCCCAGCTCCAGTTTCAATGCACCAGTTCTTCTCCGCCAAGGACGAAGCGCCGTCGGCAGCTGCGTTCAAGGCACAGTGATGCCAGATGATGCCAGATAACCTCAGCACGCTGCAGACGGTCCCGGCCCACGCCCAGAGAAATGGCCCTTTAGTAGCTGCCCCAGGCACATATGGGGGATTGGGGCCAGGACGGGGGTTGGTTTAATTGCCAGGTGTGGATGGACGTTGGTGCTGTTAGGAGATTTCAGATCGAAGGGGAACAGCCTCCCGCCGTGCTCATTCGCTGTCCCTTTCCCAGGGCTGTGGGGCCTGGTGAACAATGCGGGGATCATCGGCTCCCTGGCCCCCAACGAGTGGCTGACCAAGGATGACTTCGTCAAGGTGCTGGACGTGAACCTGATCGGCCTGATCGAGGTGACCCTCAGCGTCCTGCCCCTGGTGAAGCAAGCCAGGGGCCGGGTCGTCAACGTGGCCAGTATCCTGGGCCGGCTGGCCTTCTACGGAGGGGGCTACTGCCCTTCTAAGTATGGCGTGGAGGCATTCTCCGACAGCCTCAGGTACCTGCGAGAGCCGCCTGCTCCCCTGCCCCACCTTGGCCCCAGATCAGCCCAGAAATGGCCAAGTGCAGAGAGGCCCAGGGCTAGGAGTTTCTAAAGCAAATTTGGGGCCCACAACTTTTGAGGGCCTGCCCTGAAACCCCTTAAAAGAGCCTGAGTCGCAGAGATGATCCTTTGCGCCCGCTCTCAGGGGAGCAGGCTCCTTTGAGGGTCCCCCGTCGGGCCCCCAAATCCTTAGTCCTTTGGGAAACCTGTCTCTGGCCACTGATTTCCAGGTGCTTTGATTTTAAGGGGCCCCACTCCAGAAGCGTTGGGCCTTGTTCCCAAAGGGGGAGCTGGGGGGGGCTCCCGAAATCGGCGGCGCCCGGTGGCGGGCGGTGACGGGCTCGTTCCGTTCCAGGCGCGAGCTCCGGCCCTTCGGCGTGAAGATCGCCGTGGTGGAGCCCGGCTATTTCCGCACGGTCATGACGGATACCCAGCACCATCTGGAGTGCCTGGAGGAGAGCTGGCGCCATGCCCGCCCTGAAGTCAAGGAGAGCTACGGGCAGTGTTACTTCGACAGCCGTGAGAGCTCTTCTGGCGCCGTGGGGAGACAGGGGCTCTCTGGGCAGGCTCCCGAGGGTGGGAAGAGGGGAGAAGCCAGGCAGCCCATACACAATCTGTCCCCTCGTCTCCCCTGACGGGGACCCCGGAGCTGCTCTGCCTGACTACAGCCACATTTCCGCAAAGGGGCGCTCGACGGCTGTAATGGACTCACGCGCTGGGTGTAGGTGGGAGAGGCTGCCCTCTGCAGGACGGATGCACGCTGCGCGGTTGTGGGGGGTCCACCCTACGCTGTTAGCAGCTAATGGAGATTCTCCGCAGGTAGGACTTTTGCAGCGGGGGCTCTGAGTGCGTTTGAGGGGTGTCGAGTCCTCCGAAAATTTTAGCCTCTCCCCAGAGAGTCAGTTGCTTCCAACTAGGGGATTCCCCAGAGTTATGCACTGACATTGACTGGAAATCCAGTTCCCAGGGAGTCATCGTTATGTTTAAGAGTCAACCCGCCAATGATCTGAATTGGGGCCGAGCTATTGACGCAGGCTGCCTGCAGACTCAGGAAGTCACCGTAACGGTCAGAGCATTTCTTTGCAGCCGCAGGGGTCAAATCTTAGTCTCCCTCCCCTCCCACAAAGGGCTGAACCCCTCTGGATTGAAATCTGGGGGGGAGGCATGGGACTGACCTCTCCCCCTTGTCTGCTTACAGTCTACAAGCTCACCAGAGAGTCACTCTTGACAAAGCCCAGCACCAATCTCTACCTGGTCACCGACTGCATGGAGCACGCGCTGACGGCCCGCCACCCCCGTACCCGCTACTCCGGGGGCTGGGACGCCCAGTTCCTCTACATCCCCCTCTCCTACCTGCCCACGGCCTTGGCGGACTGGGTGCTGACCTGGACCTGGCCCCGCCCAGCCCAGGCCGTGTAAGAGGGGGAAGGACAAACAGGGGGCATCCCAGGGGGCGGAAGAGGAAGAAGCAGGGAAATCCAGCAGGGCCCAGCTGCAAAGAGCAGCTTTGCCTGTCTGCACCGGGGGGGCATCTGCACTGGAATTGGTGCCAACCCCCCCCGCGCAGTGCAGATGAGCACAGTTCCCGGCAGCTCCTTCTTAAACGGGACTGGATCCTTCTGTTGAATGGTTAAGGGCCAGATCACTTCCCAGGCAGGTGGCTGGGAGGTGCAGGCTCTCACCAGCTGGGGAAAGCCAGCTCGAAAGCAACCAGGGAGGCTACAGCCTTCAGCCCCAGCTGGCCATTACAATCGTTGGCAGCTCAGCGAACACCCGGGCCAAGGCAGTGCAAAGCACCCCTGGGCCAGCTTGCTTCCAGGGCTCGTTTCCTTCTACCGCCCCAACTGCCTGCCTCCACCTGATGTCTCTTGCCTTAGATTGGAGGCTCCTTGGGACAGGGCATCTCTTTGTTTTGTGTTCGTACAGCACCTAGCACAGTGCAGGGGGGGGGCCCTGGTCCCTGACTGAGACCCCCAGCGGGGAGGAGGGTGCGGGCGCTACCGTCATACACCGAATAAAGAAATATTTCCCATTGATTCACTCACGCCCTTGGCTCTTTGGTTCCTTGTTTGGATGGGAGCATTTGCTGCATTTGAATAATACCGAGCTCGTCTCACCCCTAGAACTCAAGGCACCGTACAAAGGAGGGCTGGGGCAGGATCCGTTTTTACAGATGGGGAAACTGAGGCACGGGGGGGGGAAGACTTGCCCAAGGCCATCCAGCAGGCCAGTGGCCGAGCCGGGAAAAGAATGCAGCCCTCCCAAGCCCCAGTCCAGCGCTCTAGCCAGTAGGCCTCACTGCCTCCCATTTTACACAGTGACACTTTGTGAGCCCAGGTCCCAAGGGGATTCCCCAGCAAAGCAGCCCCCCTGCCAGGGTTGAGCCTGCGTCCCCGAGAGCATGAGCGGCGTCGGGAGCAGCTGGGACGTGAGCTCCCTGTGCGTGCTGTCATGTGAAGACCCCACCCGCAGGGCAACGGCAGTCCCCTTGCCCCAGCTGCAAGGTGGGCACTGTCTCCCAGGGGTGCTGGACCAATGTGCATAGTGGGGGTGCTGAGAACCAAACTGGAAACCACTTCCAGCCCGGGGGGGGGCAGCTCCCCAGCACCCCCAGTTCCAGCACCTAGGCTGCCTACACTGCGCTGCAAAGCCCCTGAACGCCATCGGCTGCGCAAAGGACCCACCCACGCTGCACCAGAAGCTGCAATGCAAACTCCGGTTCAATGCAAACTCCCTCTGCAGAGGGCAAAAGGGTCACTGCAGCTTGCATGGGACTCCCCTCCCGCTCCCAGCCCCACGGCCAAGTCTCCCACGCAGGGGAAGGGAGAGGTCTCTGGGCTCTGCGAGACCCCCTGGGAAGCGTAGTGGAGCCGACGGGTGCGTTTCATCGCCCTGTTATGATGAACTCGCACGGCGGGTCACACAGGCCCACGGGACTAAACGGCTAAACGGCTGTCAGCCGGCGGATGGCCGAAGTATACTAGGGAGCCTGTGTGAGCCGGGGAAGGGTGCAGCTCTTTAGGGGAACTTCCCTGGCTTCTGCATGACCCCGGGGAGATGGGCTGGCGAGAGGATCCGAGTCCTCGCTCCCACTCCCTTTACCCAGAGCCCTACCTGACCTCAAGGGCTCCCCTCCCATCTCCTGGGCCAGAGTCCTTGGAACCCGACACGGCTGGGCCCCGGATTCCTGGGGGGCTCCACCCCCAAACCTGTCGTGGCCACGTAGGGCCGGGGCTGGGGTGTTCCCACTCTGGGGGGCTCTCGCTGCGGGCCGGACACTTGCTCTGGTGGTGGCCATGTGTCCTCAGGCTCCAGGTGGCAGGACCCTTCTGCCCAGCGTCGCCCCCGCCCCGCCAGGTTACGATCCCTGTCCACGTCCGGCCGGCAGGGCCCCTTGGCTGGGGCATCTCCCTGCGCTGGGCCCCTGCCCAGGGTCCCCCCTCACTCTGCCCAGCTGCTCCCCGCACCCGGCTCCGGAGAGCCCCAGCCCCGGCCCCAGCTCCAGCCCCAGCTCCGGCCGCAGCCCGGCTCTGGCTCCAGCCCCAGCTCGCCTCACCCCGGCTGCTGCTTCTGCTCTGCCTCCAGCTCCTGGACCCTGGGCTGCGTCTCTGGCCCCTCTGGCTCTGGTGGCTGCAGCCCTGCTCCCAGCACAGGTCTGCTCCCTGGGCTGCTTCTGTGGCCCTGCTCCCAGCACTGACCTGCTCCCTGGGCTGCTTCTCTGGCTCTCTCTGGCCGGCGCGGCTCCGCTCCCCTGCTCTTTCCTTAGCTCGGCCCCCCTCTGTTCCAGGCCATTCCAGCTCAGATGGAGAACAGGCCGTGGGGCTCTGCCCCTGACAGGGGCAGGCCTCGCACAAGGCAGGGAGCTGGGCCTTGCCCCCCTTGTCCCCCACAGCTGGAGGAAAGCTGAGATTTGCTACAGTGCAGGAGGGTTAATTATTTCCCTGAAGCTAGCAGGGGCTGCAGTCCCAGCACGGGGAGGGGGTTCGTTTGCTCCCAGAGCAGAGTCCAGTGCTGATCCTGACCCCCACACACCCCAGCCCCACAGAACTGGCCAAGAGAGGGCGGTGGCTGCTGCGGGCTGAGATGCAGGGAGCTGTCGCCGGGCTAAAGTCACTCCTGCTTCAGGGCACGAGCCCCTAACTCTGGGGGTCAGGAGGAAACGGTCCCGGAGCTGGCTGTTCCCTTGCCTCTAAGGCAGTGGGATTCCTAGGGGCGGTTCTGGCGTACGTCCCTTCAGTAGGGAATCTTACAGATAGATTCATAGATATTAAGGTCAGAAGGGACCATTATGATCATCTGGTCTGACCTCCTGCACAACGCAGGCCACCGAATCTCACCCACCCACTCCTGCGACAAACCTCTCACCTATGTCTGAGCTACTGAAGTCCTCAAATCGTGGTTTAAAGACTTCAGGGAGCAGAGAATCCTCCCACAAGTGACTCATGCAAGCATCTGCCCTGACCCCTCTGATCCAATCCTCCCTGCTGTGTATTCTCTCCAACAGTCCTTTAAGGCAGACTAGACCCCATACGGCAGCTTCCCAAAACCCCAGGCCGTCTCGGCCTCCTTTTGAAAAGAAAGAGCCCGGGTCTGTGGGGTCTAAAGAGCTTGTCCAAGCAGCTGTCACAAGCAAAGAGTCCAGGGCTTTCCACCAAAGGTCAGTTACAGCTGGATTTCAGCCACTGAACCCAGGTGCCTCAGTTTCCCCTCTGTAAAATGGGGACAATCGTTCATTTCTCCCGTGCTTTGTCTGCTCCGCTTAGCAGGTCAGCTCTCTGGGGCAGGGCGCAACTCTGCGTCGGGGCAGTGCCCAGCACACTGGGGCCCTGAGCTTGGTCCACTAATAAGCAGCAATGGGGACTACCTAGGGCTAAGCAATCAGGACCACCTTGGATTTGCCTTCCAGAGACAGGTGCTGGCTGGCTGCGAGTTCTCGGGTCTCTGTCTTTAGACAGGCTGCTTGCTTAAGCTAGACATGACGCAACTGGGTCTCCCGACACAGGTACGGGGAGGCACCAGCGGACAGGGATGTCTCTCACACCGGCGCTGAGTAATTGCTTGGGAAGGAATCTGCAGGGCAAGTCATTCTCGATGATGCCGGCAGGATCTGTTACGGGCCGGCTAGCGATTCGTTCCCAGCCTTGCCTGCAACTCCCAGCAGGGGATCCGTCCGGTGGCCAAACTGGCTTCAGGACTCGTGGTCTGGCCTTGGACCCGAGAAGAGGCTCAGTGTGCAGTGGGTTGGTTTCATCAGAGGTTCTCGTATGGCGGAGTTTCAAACTGCTGTCTCCCCTCCAGATGGGCTGGGTTACCCTGCTGGGGTCACCGGGGTGTGAGAGATCCTGGACACAGATCATGGAGATTTGGGGACAGGCAGATAGGAAAGGGAACTGAATACCAAGGACGGGCGGGTCACGGACACAAGGAGAGGGGTGGTCTACGTTCGGGGAGCTGGTAAAGGGAGGGGGTGGTGGTGTGCCCGGGGGCTGGGGAGGGTTGGTTAGGAAACCACATTCCATCCCAGGACACAGAGAAGAGGTTTCCCTGGTGAAGCAAACTCCAAGGAGCTCTGTTTTGATTCAACATTTGTAATTAAGAACTGATTTGCATAGTCTCAGCTGGGTGCCACGAGACAGGGGTCTCACCCCCGTCGGGAATCTGGACCCCATGTACCAGTGACGCTCCTCTGGTCACTGCCCCCTGCCGAGAGTCTCACGCTGCATCTTCCTCCTACGCTTTTTGGGCTGGGACCGGGGAGGACCACGTCAGCACCAAGTCGGCAAACCAGGTGGGCAGGTAACTCAGCGGGAGGAAGACCAGCTTGGCGTCCCAGCCGGCGGAGTAGCGGGTGCGGGGGTGGCGGGCCGTCAGCGCGTGCTCCATGCAGCTGGTGACGATGGACAGATCGGAGCTGCAGGATTTCTGCATGTTGTGGGTGGCGCTGATAACTGCGCAGGCAAAAACAGAGAGTCGGGCCCCGCCGGGCTTAGCCGCAGCACCAACCGCACCCGGACTGAACGGGTCGGCCGAGAGGTCAAAGAGGAAGGACAGACTGTGAGCACAGGCTGCGAAACGGCAGCGGCAGGATGGCCTAGTGGTTAGGGGCTCACTTGGGACCTGGGCTCAATCTCTGCTCTGCCCCACGCAACCCGGGTGAGCCTGGGCCAGTTGCTCTGTGCTGCCGTTCCCCATGTGCGGCTATTTACAGCATCACTGTCGGCTCAGGAGACCTGTAGCCGGATTTGGCAACCCGCCTCTTGTGGGGCCTGATCCCACCAGCTGAGTGGGTGACGGAAGGGGCTAGATCCTGTGTGATACTGAGGGCCAGATTTGCAAAGGGCCAGCAGACACCTATGGAGGCAGAGCAGCGCCTCATGGAATTTTCAAAAGCACCTTGGTAAATTCGGTGCCTAAGTCACCTGGGCACCTATGATCGTCCCACTAGACTCGTACCTGCAGCGTTAGGCGCCTAAGTACCTTTGTAAATCTGGCCCACAGTATCGCACCGGATCAGGCCCCTTGCATCACCCAAGGAAAGACACATGCAGCTCCATTTTCAGGCGCTGAGTGCTCAATCGGAGACCCCCTCAGGGCTCATTCGTGCTGAGGTCTGCGCCCGTGGCATGTCTCAAAACCCAGGGCTAGGGGCTTTGGGAAAAATCCAGCCAATGAGACGCAGGGATCCAGCACTCCCCGGGTCTGAGCAGGGGCGAAAAGCAGCAGGAGCGTTTCTGTCGCTGATTCCGGCACACGGATCTGAACACAGAGGGGCCATTTGTCCAGAAAAGTAAAATCCCCTGAGAGAAGCAGCAGCTGCCACTGATTCACCGGTGGAGAATCGTCCTGGCGCAGCAGGGGGTGAGGTGGGAGGGGGTTATTACGCTCAGGAGATCAGCGTGGGAGCTCTGCTCCCGTGCAAGGATCAGCAGGGCTCACGTGTGCGAAAGACACACCTGATCTCGGGGCACGCACGTCCAAACCTCTCTGAATGGTACATTAAATTGTGTCCACATTTAAGAAGGGGGGTTTCAATCCTGTTCAGCCAGCTGGGCTGAGCTAACCGGATTGAAAACAAAACCACCTGATTTCCTACCTAGACAAGGCCTAAGCGGGAACTAGGAGTCTGACCCCACAATGCCGGGCACAGTGTGACGTCATTTGCACTAGTGCAAAGGGGGTGTGCAATGCCACTCAGTCACACCGCACGGCAGCGGAGACTCTGCCCCGAGCTGCCCCGTGTACGCTGACACAAAGGCTGCTCTGATGCAGCGCAGGGCCGGGAACTAGAGCTGTTGCTGCCGGCTGGTGGGGAAGGGAATGGGACGACGGACTGTGATGAAGTGGGACTGTTCTTAATGTTTCCTCTGAATAGTGTGGGGGTGCCTCAGTTTCCCCTAGGCAGTTCTTAAGTATCTAGGGGGTGGGGTAAGGATGTATGATCATTGCAGAGCCTAGAGGGCAGGTGTGTGCAGGAGTCTGGACACAGAGAATGGCCAACACCCTGTTTCCTGGCAACTGATGGCCTGGGCCCTTCCCCCCTGCAAGGTGAGAGCTAAAGGGTGGTAGAACAAAGGAATCAGGTGACCACCTGGCCCGGGAAAGGAACAAAGCCCAGAGGAGGAGGGGCTGGAGGGGGTTTTCAGTTTGGGGCTGGCTGGGACATGGAGTGAAGTGCAGACGTGGTTGTCTGGCTCACTGCCCCCCAGAATGGACCCAGCTGAGGGGTCCCGTTCTCTGCACCTGCAAGCTCTGTTTTAGACCATGTTCCTGTCATCTAATAAACCTTCTGTTTTACTGGCTGGCTGAGAGTCACGTCTGACTGTGAAGTTGGGGTGCAGGACCCTCTGGCTTCCCCAGGAGCCCCGCCTGAGCGGACTCGCTGGGGGAAAGCGCACGGAGGGGCAGAGGATGCTGAATGCTCCGAGGTCAGACCCAGGAAGGTGGAAGCTGTGTGAGCTGTGTGTCCTGAAGACAGGCTGCTCACAGAAAGGCGACTACCCCAGAGTCCTGACTGACTTCATGGGGAGCAGTTCCAGAGCATCGCCCAGGGACTCCGTGACACGGACTTACAGGTTTTCAGGTAATTCTCCCCGTAACTTGCTTTGGTTTCCTTGGGGAGCCGCTCCCAGAGGCGAGTGAAGTTCTCGTTAATGAGCTGAGGGTTGGTAATTGCGGTGCGGAAGTAGCCCGGCTCGATCACACACACCTTCACCCCGAAAGGCAGCATCTCACGCCTGAAACGGGACAAGCAGGATTAACCCGAGTGCGAACAGCACCTTCCTGGGGGCTGGCCTGGTTCCCGAAGAGGTGAGATCCGAAACTAGCCCCGGTCTTGTATGTGGCCAGGTTTGGTGGCTTCTACAACCTGCGCGGACACAGAGATACTGGAATCAAGGGGCTTTCGGGTTTGTCTACACTTGGAAGTTAATTTGGATTGAGGTCAATGCGAATTAAAAGCACAGTAGTTATTCCAGAATACCTCCATGTGCGGAGTGCTGCTCAACCGAACGCCTTCCTGATTTCCTCCATCTGAGTCTCTGTCCCTGGAGGTTTAACTGACTTACAGAGCTGGCAATGTGCAGTCCTGGGCCCGTCCCAGGATATGAGAGACACACGGCGGGGGAGGTCATCTCTTTTATTGGACCAACCTCCGTCGGCGAGGGAGAAAAGCTCCCGAGCTTACGCAGAGCTCTTTGGAAGGGGCACGTGAGATGACCGACAGGTCGACGGAGCCTCACACGCGGCAGCGAGGAGACCTTCCTGGGACCCAGGCCAGCTCTAAACCACACCCTTTTGCTAGGATAGCGCCCTCAGGGAGTTGTGTGATTTCTGCGAAAAACCCCCGAGGGTAGACGCAGTGATACCAGCATCCATGTGCTTTTGCCAACGGAGCTTGTTTCACTGACTGGTATAAGCTACACCATATGCCTACTCAAGCAGCGGTTTTCAATACAGCCCTGCTGGCATATCTTTGCTAGAGCAGACGGGGCCTCCGTCCCAAGATGAGCCCCGGTGGGGAAGGATGGTGCAGCTCCTGTTAAGAAAGGAGAATTCCTCCTCCATGCCGCGGCCCTGATCCTGCTGGGGCTGTCTGTGGGTGGATCCAGGGCAGCTAGCAGGATCTATTTTGTATTTAGGGTTGGGCTTGCAGATGCTGGTTTGTAAATTGCACCCACAACACACGCCCAGGGCCGGGAGCACATGGGAGAGGTGTGCCAGTCTAACCTCGGGTGTGAATTCAAACCCGTCTAGTTCATCCAGCCCCAGCCGGGTGCCCTGCTCTCAGGATAAGGGCAGCCGAGAGCAGCTTGGTTGAAATCGGCCGGAATCACAGCGTCTGCACTGGGGTCCGCCACAATTTAACTCGCTTGGTTTAAAACCTGATTTACATTAACCCCCTGCAACTCTCCCGCGTAGACAAGGCCCAGTGGTGCGGGGCTGCACCCGGAGGAGCCTCTGAGCTGACACCAGGAGAAATCAAGTCTCAGCGAAGAGCCTGTCTCCACAGCGAGTCGCGGCGGGGCACGGCAGGGGGTGGACCTGCAGCACCCCAGCTGGCAGGGGGGAGAAACACCCCTCGCCTGCAATCACAAATTTTGCACTGGTTTCCCCTTTCCTTCTCTATCCTCCCAGATCAACCAGGGGCCAGGCAGGAGCCCACTAACCCCTTAGATGCCAGAGCGCCTTCCTGCCGGACCAGATCCTTGCTAGTGGTCGCTAACCCGTTAGTACAATGGGCAGCAGCGCATGTTTTAAGGGCCGAAGGCGACAGATTCAATCCCCATGGCCACCCCTGAGCAGGAGTCTCGTGGGTCCAACCACAACAAAGAGCCAGGTGCATCGTGTGCAGAAATACACACACGTCCCACCTGCGTACACACACGGCTCACAGCCATGCTGTTTGCATGTTGCACCAAGTACATTCGGGCGCCAACTCACCGTTCGGCACTTGGCACCATGGGTCAGTGCACGGGGGGGTGGGGGGGTTGCACGGGGGCATCCCACCCTTCAGGAGACGGGGCTGAATGTGCAGCTGAAAAGGGCGCCCCGTCACTGGTCACTCACCGGAGGCTGTCGGAGAATGCCTCCACGCCGTACTTAGAAAGGCAGTAGCCCCCTCCGAAGGAGGACAATCGGCCCATTACGCTGGCCACGTTGACGACCCGGCCCCTGGCTCGCTTCACCAGGGGCAGGACGCTGAGGGTCACCTCAATCAGGCCGATCAGGTTCACATCCAGCACCTTGACGAAGTCGTCCTTGGTCAGCCACTCGTTGGGGGCCACGGGGATAGCGATCCCCGCGTTATTCAACAGGCCCCAGAGCCCTGGGCAGAGGAGACAGGGTATGTGACTGTGGGGCGCTGTTCCCTCTCCTGTCCCTCCCCCAGAAATCCCTGCTCCTCTCCCACAACCCACTGCTTTCTCTCAAATCTCCACACTGCTGGGAGGACGGGACGTCCCTTTTCCCTGGATCTGCCCCGCACCCCCACAGCTGTTGGGGGGGACGGAGGACCCCCCGGGAAAGTTCTCACCCCCTGCCTATGCTCTGGGCTGTGAGCCAGCAACAGGAATAAAGTCACGCTGTCCACTGCCCCCTCGGCGCGCAGACTCCAGCAGGCTATGCCCAGGGGGAAGGATGGCCCAGTGGTTAGGTACTGTCCTAGGACTTGGGAGACCTGGCTTCAGTTCCCTGGGTGATGTTGGGCAAGTCTGGGCCTCCGGTCAGTCACAGCCAGTCCAACCTGCTGCTTTCCCTTCCAGCATATGAGGGTGGCGGTTTAATGCAGGCTAATGCCCGGGGGAGCACGGAACAGCGACAGCCCCCCGCTGTGGGGCCTGCGGATAGCTCCCAAAGCTGCAGTCACAGCACCCCTACCTGCTCTACAGTCCAGATGACACCCAAAGAAGAACTGGGTGTGACCCTGCCGCATGCTAATAGGACAATCAACACCCATATGCCTGTGATGAGTGTCTAGCAAGGGCGTTGACCCGGGGTGGGCGAGGGACGGGCATAGCCAGACCCGGGCCCCGCACCTTTGTTCCCGACTTGTTCCTTCACCCAGGCGATGGCCGCGGTGACGCTGTCGGTGCGGGTGACGTCCAGGATCACCGTTTGCAGCCGCTCCGACGTCGCCTTCTTCAGCTGCTCCGCGCCCTGCTGGGTGAGGCAAGCCGCCAGCACCCGCAGGCCCCGCGCGTCCAGCTGCTTGGCCAGCAGGTGCCCGAAGCCGGAGTCGCAGCCGGTGATCAGGACGTATTTATCCGGGAGGCCCTCGACACTCTGCCGCTCCCGGTACCATCGGCGCAGGAAGTACAGCCCCAGCAGGGCGGCCAGGTACAGCCACATCCTCTCAGGCGGTCTCTGGGGGTGAGAGGAAAGGGAAGCGTTACAGGGCACTGGCTCTGTCCCAGGGGGCACCGGCTCTGTCTCAGGGGGCACCCGACGGCCTGGTGGACTCAGGAGAACCGGGTTTGATTCCCGGCTCTGCTACCAACTCCCTGCGTGACCTTGGACAAGTCACTTGCTCGCTCCAGGCCTCAGTTTCCCCATCTGTACAGAGGGGATAATCCTCCTTCCTTTGTAGGCATAGACTGGGGCAGGGCCTGTGTCTCACTCCATGCCTCTGGCGTGAGGGGCCCTGATCTCAGCTGGGCCTCCGACGTGCTAGTGTGATACTCAGAAGGTCCTGTCCGGGCAGGGGAGCACATCAACGGGCAGACCCAGCGACGGGACCAGCCTGTGCTGGGTGTGTCTGGGGTCTCCTTGGTAAAGACGGACCCCGGGGTAACTGGTACCACACCAGGGCCACTAGTACCACAGGGGCTCTGTTGCTGCCTGTCCTTTGCCTCCGGCCCAAGGACGAGCTCTCAGCGATGGGGCTCGAACCCTCCTGCACCTTGGACTGGACGCCATGCACCCCTCTCCTGACAGCGCCCACCTTTGAACCCTCTGAAGGTTCAGCTCCTGCCGAGGGAAGTCCGACGTGTCCGGGTTTTTAATACCTTATGGAGACAACCTGGGACCAACCCCTTCCAGAAGCTTCCTTGAGCAAATCATTTACCAATCCCCCCATGTTAACCACACAAGAACACCCTGGGGCTGGCTGCATTGTTTGCCCAGAATTAGCTTCCTCCTCTCCTTCACACAGTCCCGGCTGTTGCGACACCCATAGGAATCCAGCCAGCTGATAGGTGCCAGCTAGCAGGTGGGTTAATATGTCCGTGAGTCTGTATTTCATTCCTCTCCTCCTCCAGTCACGTGTCCCAAATGAGATCCTGGTCCCATCGCGCCAGGTGCTGTACAGACATCCAGCAAGAGGCAGCTCCTGCTTGGAAAAGCTAAGGCCCAGATTTTAAAAGCTATTTAGGCCCCTCACTCTGGGAGCTGGATGCCTAAATAGCTTCAAAAACTGAGACCTTAAAGTCTAAGTAGCCAGGACAGACAAAGGGTGGGAGGGGAAACTGAGGCACGGGGAGGGGAAACTGAGGCACAGAGCAGGGAAGTGACTCACCCAAGATCACCCAGCAGGTCATTAGCAGACCTGGGTTCTATTCCTGAGTCCAGCCCAGCACTCCATCCACTAGGCAACACTGCCTCCCCTGTTTGCTTTCTCAGATGGGGAGCCCCAAGGGGTGGGAATTCTCTGACATGTGGGGAGAGCCCTGAGCAGAGCACATTGTGAGTGCTGCCTTACAGAAACACAATCATCATCATAATAGCCCGGCACGATTCCTGGATTCCCTCTCCTACCGTCCCCTCTGCAAGACACCGTCAGCTTGGTTTGCTCCACAGCTCCTTGGATCAAAGGCTGGATGTGCATCATGGATTCCACTGGAGGGTTGTTTTTCACACCACATCCCGGGCTTTTCACTCATTAGCGGTTGTGCTTGTGAGCTGAGCAGACTGCAGGAGTTATAGGGAGCCCACGGCTGGATTTGGGGGCGGAACTGAGGGGTGACTGCACAGGTGTGTGATGGGGTAGCCCAGGGGCGGATTAGTGGGTCGGGGGGGGAGCAAACTGTGGGTCGGGATTGAGGGGCATCAGCAGAGCTGTGTGTGTGGGAAGCCTAAGAAATGGGAGTTGACAATCTGCCTTGGGGGTGGGGGTTGCTGGAGTTGTGGGGTGGGGAAGGGGGCTCTGGGGCTGAGATGCACTTTGCAGTCAGGCAGCAATTCGCCCAGCACTTAGCTGGGCGATCGGCCTTCCCTTTCAGGAACCCCCATGGTGAAAAGCCAAAAGAGAATCGGGGACATGCGGGAGGTGTGTGGGTGTCTGTGTGGAAAGAATAGATCTAATTAAAATACTCTTCAGAAGGGGAAATGGGGGTGGGGCAGGGAAGAGGTCAGATTGTGTTAAAACTGCTGAAGCGTCCAGGTTTGACTAAGGCCCAGGGGAACGTCAGAGTTTCAATTTGCGCCCAGGAATGCAGAAGTTGCAGGCCTCCCAGCAAACCGCAGGTTCGATTCGGGTGACCAGATGGCCCGATTTTACAGGGGTCTTTTTCTTATATAGGCTGCTATTACCCCCCACCCCCCGTCCCGATTTTTCACATTTGCTGTCTGGTCACCTTAGGCTCGATCCGGCCAGGGGCTGAGCCCCCTGGCCTCGGTCCCCCGGAACGGCCCTGAGCGCATGCTTCACTTTCAGAGTGTGCCTCATCCCGCTAAAGTCCATGGGGCTTACGGTGAAGCGGGTGCCTGGGTGGTCTGCGAGCCCGGTGGTCCGGCCCAGCTCCCGCCAGCAGTGATCAGGCGCGAACACTGCTGCAGCGGTGGGGACAGTCGTGGGGAGAGGAGAACAGGGCCCGGTTTGCGCGATGCAGGGAGATGTTTGCTCTCTGGGCAGTGGCGCGGGGGGCAAATTCCAGCCGTGGAACCGGCAGCCCCGCTAAAGCCGTTCTGTGTGGAGAGCCAGCACTTTCCTCCTGCTCAGGCTTGCGTGTATTCACAGGAACTTCCCCTTTGGGCTCTTGGCTCCACTGAGGTGGGGCCCTGCACCCGAAGCTGCCAACTTTGCACCCCAATATCCATCCTGCTGGCTGCCCCTTCTCCCCGCCAGCTTCCCCTCCAACCTGGGCGAACCCACCCCCCTGGGCCTGGAATTGCTGCTGTGGGAACAGCTGCGGCATCCTGCAGTCTCCCCGTTACCTAGGAAGCGTCTCCTGGGAAGCTGGGACTTCTGCTAGATTGCAGCCTCCGGCGGATCCCCTCTTTCCTGCCTTTCTGAACCAGATCAAAGGCTCCTGGAGGGGAAAGAGGAAGCATTAGCAAAGCGTTAGCAGCTGCGATTGGTGGGGAGTGACAGGCCGTCTCGCAGAACAGCCAACCACAGAGGCTGGAGACACAGGACGGGGAGAGGGGAGAATTGGGCTCTAGGGCTGGGCGCCATGGGGCATTCTGAAGTCCCGCTAAGTGCATCACTGCAGAGCAGGGAAACCTCTTCCTCCCTGCAGGTGTGTGAGCGAATCGAGCTGGAAAGGACAGTTTCCTTGTCTCCTGGCCGTCTCCACTCGTTGTTTCTGGTCTCATACTCAGACTGCAGCTCTTTGGGGGCAGGGCCTCTCTTTTCACGCTGTGTATGTACAGCGCCTAGCACAACAGGGCCTGGGTAAATAATAAGAAGTGTACGCGTTTTTATTTAATTGTATTGATAGCAGCAGCCTGACAGGCACAAATATTGTTAAAACACGCACAGGAGAAAGTAAAAAACAAGGTGCAATTCATTTTGTTTAAAATAAAGAGCTGGCATTAATCCCCCACCCCTCTTTTTTTTAAAGGTACTTTCTTTTCAATCAGATCCCAAGTCCAGAAGGGATCGTTGTGAGCATGTAGGCTGACCTCTTGCATAACACAGGCTAAAGAACCGCCCCGAAATAATTCCTAGGGCAGGGCTTTTAGAAAAACCTCCAGCCTCAATTTAAACATGGACAGTGCTGGAGAATCCACCACAGTCCGGTGAATTGGTCCAGGGGCTAATGACACTCACTGTTCAAAAGCTGCAGCTTATTCCCTGTCTGAGTTTGTCTTGCTTCAACGTCCAGCCACTGGACTGGATTCTCTGATAGACTGAAGGGCCCGTTATTAAATATTTGCTCCCCATACTCGGACTTCATTCAAGTCATCACTTGACCTTCTCTTTGTTACGCTAAACAGAGTGAAACTCTTTGAGGCTATCACTAGAAGGCAGGGTTTTTAAAATCATTGTCTTGGCTCTTTTCTGACCCCTCTCCAGTTTATCCACATCCTTCTTGAATTGTGGGTACCAGACCCGGACACAGAGCTTCAGCAACTGCCAAACCCAGAGGGGAAATACCATCTCTGCCCCTTCTCACGATTCGCCAGGTTCGGCATCCCAGGGTTGCGTTAGCATCTGGTCGCAGCCTCGCACGGGGAGCTCACGCTCAGCTGATTGCCCACCAGGACGTCCAAATCTTTTTCAGAGTCGCTGCTTCCCAGGAGAGTGGAGCCCATCCCGTAAGCATGGCCGACCTAGAGGTCGACATTTACATGTAAAACGCATAGTTTGCCTGTGCCCAATTTACCAAGACATCCCGATGGCTCTGCCTCCGTGATCTCTCCTCTTCCTTATTTCCCACACCCCCAGTTTTTTGTCATCTGCAAACTTTAACAGTGATGATTTTCTGTTTCCTTCCAGGTCATTGATAAAAACATTAAACAGTGCAGAGGCCAGCACCGATCCCTGGGGACCCCACTAGAAACCCCCACGCCCCCAGTGATTTGCTGTTTACAGTTCCATTTTGAGACCGATCTGATAGGCAGCTTTTCTACCATTTAATGCGCGCCATGTTAACGTTCTCTCCTTCTAGGTTTTTAATCGAAACGCCGCCCAGTACCCAGTCAAACGCCGTACAGAAGTCTAAGTCTATTACATCGATGCTGTTACCTTTATCAACCAGACTTGCCATGCCATTAAAAAAAGATAGCAAGTTTGTCCCACAGAATGTATTTTCCACGAAGGCAGGTCGATTGGCATTAATATTACCATCCTTTAGTTCTTTTTGAATCAAATGAATCGGTTGCCTGCAAAAACACCCACACAAATTAACTCTCCAAGATTCCTTTAGGAAACAATAAATAATAACGACCTCCAAGCTCCGGATGTCCTGACATGACAACCAGGGAACGCAGAAACAGCCAGACAGGATCAGATCCAGCTTCTGGCTACCTCAGGATCCCCATTCTGCCTGGTCTCCCGGCAGCTCTGGACACAGCTCCTGGATAACCCATCCCCAGGACAGTTTCTTCCTGTGATGATGTGATGCAGCAGGGAGGGGGGAGTGTTGACCTGGGAATGTGCCCTGGGGATGGGAGACCTGAGAGCCTGTCACCTGAGCCAGGAGGGGGAGGTAACACCTCTGCCCGGGAATGTGAAGACAGGCTGCAGGAGAGAGCCTGCTGGGGGGGTTTAGTTTCAGTTTGGGGCTGGGTGGAGGAACACAGGGAACCCCAGGGCTGGGGTCTAAGCTCCCTGCTCCCCCAGAAGGACTTGACTGAGGGGTCCTGGTTGTACCCCACAAGCTCTGTTTTGGACTGTGTTCCTGTTGTCCAATAAACCTTCTGTTTTACTGGCTGGCTGAGAGTCTCAGTGAATCCCAGGAAGAGGGGTGCAGGGCCTGGACTCCCCCACGCTCCGTAACACTTCCTGACCCCCAGAGTTGGAGGTCGTCTCCTGCCCTGAAAGCGCAAGAGAATGGGTAACACGGTTGATCTAGGGACCCCCCCACGGCAGTCCTAGCAGGCTCCCAGGAGGTGGCACCGTCCCCCGGTAACACACAGAGTTATGAAGCTGGGCTGCCCTGCCAGGACCAAGGGGACAGTCTGACCTGCTGCATAAAACAGGTTGGGAGGGCTTCCTTGAATTAACAGGGCTTTGGCCACAAAAACAAGTCGTACCACTTTAACTATCCCGGTGCATCCTCCTAGTGTGGAAGCAGATCTACTGGCAGAAAGGTGCTAACACTGTTCCCCAAGGGGAATCAACCAGACTGATGTCACACACCTCCATCTTGGTATATCTGCAGCCACACTGGGTATAATAATAGGGGAGAACAATCATCCCCCTGTAACTGACCCAGTTATACCAGCCCTGCAACCTGACGGCACTTGACTACCAGGTTGTTTTGACTCTCTGCCTGCTGCCCGGTGGAGGGGTTGGCTTGGCAGGGGCTGCCTGTCCTGGCTGCTGCTGTTGCCTTGCTGTGGGGCGAGTGCCCCAGAAATCGTAGAGCCTCTCAGCCCACAGCGCACACAGCACAGCGGGGATTGGGGGTGGCATGAGCCCACATGCAGGAGGGTGATAAGAATCACTAGACTTATAACAGTCTATATAACGGTCGATATGAAAATAAGCAAGATTTTAGGCAATAAACCCTGA